TGAGTCTATCAATATGTCCAAATATGTTACTACTTTTAAATCACAGCTCACTCATATGTTGGTACTGTATTAGTATTATTAATCAGCTATCGGCTGATATTAATTTTTTTTTTTTTTTTTTTGTCAGTAATGGCTGAAAATGAATATTTAATTTTGCTTGTTAATTTCTTCTAGTTTTATATTTAGATAACCTTTCTGTCATCTAGTGCTATCTTAATATTTAACGCTAATTATTTAATAAAACTGTTGCATGTAATCTTTGGCAAATCACCAAATAAATATTACTTTTCTATAATGTACATTTATAATGGTGGGATTCCTAAATACACTTGTAGCATTTAAATTATTGTAGTTTATTTATTTATTTAAATTAAATTATTTGAATATTTTTTTCAAATTGAATTTGTTATTTATTTTAATTTCTTTATTCGTTTAATGTAATTTAATTTGTTATGGAAGAATAGTATAGAAATTGAAAATTGTCCATTTATCGTCTGCCTGCAATAACATAAAAATCCCCGAAATGTTACGAGTTACTAATTCCCTGGGCTTTGGATGTGAAGGTTGTGGGGCTGGTAACCAGGAAGGATCTTGCACGCTACCACATGGGTAAAGATGGCCTGGAGGAGCTTCACCTGGCTCAGATGTGATTGGTTGTTGAGTTCATCCTGGACCCTGCCTTCAGAGCACCAGCTTTGGACCGTATTAACTCAGGGGCTGGTCAGTCTCTCTCATGTCAAAGATGCCAAACACAAACCTGCAACATGCACAAATCAGTATTTTAAGGGCTCAATTATTTAAAAAATACATTTTTGCTCCTTTACAAAAAAAAAGTTAGTTATGGGTTGATTTGAGAGTTGAAGGAGCACATTATGGTATTACGTAATGTTGGTTTTGCACTATGTGACTATTTATTACATTTATAATATTTTAGAGTAGATGAGCTTTTCGGGAGCCCCCACTTTTCGTGGCTCTCCAAAAGCATCATTTTGTGTCACCTTACACCTTACTTTATCCTATAGTTACTAATTGAGACATGTACATCAATGTGATAATGTATGTCGACATGACAATGTGTCACTATGCATTTTTTCTCGTTTTTGCAGTCGCATAAATATAAATTATGAATGCTTACTTGCTTATGCATAAGATTAGTTCTTGTAAAATGCTGTTAGCTCAAAGTTAAACGTCAGTGATGAATGTGCAGGACAATTTAAGCAAGTTTACTGATCTTGGATTTCTCTTATGCCCATTTGTAGCATTATGAAACCTATTGGTGATACCTTTATGTGCACTTAAGACAGACTACTACATATATTGTTACAGTTAATATGGTCCTTTGCATATTTGTTTACCTAGTTCTATTTAGGATTTTTAAATGTTTTTGTCTTGCTTTATCAGTTTAATATTATAAAATATTTTCGGGTAGATCAGGCCCTAAAATTAAACACATAAATCCTATTTTTCACGTGGCAAGTTTTGGTACGAGTTTAAAACCAGCGAGCGGTTTTATGTAATACATTTCCTGAGGACAGTTTGCTTTTACAGAATGTGAATTTTCTGCCTCGAGCTGCATTTGTTTTCTGTGAAAATCTATACTTTAAAATGAACACATAAATCACACTATTGGGCAGTGAAAGATTATGCTCAGATAATTGCCAAGCACTGATTGCAAGAAACGATCTTGAGATGATGCGTTTAAACATGACGTTGTTGTCTGTGTGCTAAAACTTTGACGAATGCTGTACGCCTCGATGTTTAAAGCCAACATTTTTTGTTTTTTATTGATCAATGAACTTTTGCTCTGTGGATCTCTACTTTTATATTGTTGTTGATTTGAAGCAACGAAAAAAAAGAGTGACTTTTATAACCATTTGAACTTTGTGAACTAATAAAGCTATGGATTGACAAATTAATTCCTAATGCCTCCCCAGTAATTCTCTCAGATATAATGGATGATTTGGATTAAAAAAAAAAAAAAACTCTAGTGCAGGATAGGACATCAATATCTCTTTGTCTTTTATACAAGGCTATTGTTTTAAATGTGTATATGATAAAGGTTAATTTTGTCAGCTTTAATGAATACACTAGCATATAGATGCATTTAAAACTAATAAATATGAGTTCAAAAACGATTTTTATTTTTAGGAAACGTGCAGTGTGTGCGTATGCAACTGATGAAAATGCCTATGTTTAAATTTGTGACAACACTACATGACTAAGCAGTATGTTATTTTTCAGCTTTACTTGTCATAATCATCCCTGATACTACACTGACACATTCCTGCGAGGCGTCTGAAAAAAATGGAGCAAGGTGTGGACGTGCAAATCTATGAGTAATGCTGCGAGGATTTCATTTTAAATTTTCATGTATGAATGATGATCCGCCCTGCTCATTATAATCATTGCTGTCGTCGTGTGCCTCTAAACATGTTTTATCAACACGGTGATCTCTCTGAGCATCTATGTAGTGTTTCTCAAGAGAGGCGGCTAATGTAATTGCATCATACATCTTATAATTAAATTATTTATAGAAAAAAGATTTGCATAATTATAACTATGTAAGTATACCTAATTATGCTGAATCATGAGTGAGTGAGGTTATCTGTGTAGTATTTAACAGCAATACATTATAACCATTCACAGACATTTATTTATTTATTTATTTTTGACCGTGCTCCATTAAAAAACATAAAAAGCATAGAGCATTACATGTATCCATCTCCTGTGCAGGAGCCTGAGGGTTAAGATCTGTGTCCTAATCCATTTAGAGCAAATCTAAATCTCCTTTCCTTCATCTTCTCAAATCAACAGGTGCCAAAATACATCTGTCTGGCATCAACTGCTAGAGCATTCGGTAACTGTCGACTTCATCATCTTATATGAGTATAAGGGTCAATGACATGATGTGCATATTTTTGTGCCCAAATGGATTATTTCCTTGTAAAATAATTTGATAAATTCATGACCTGTATCACTTTATCCTATTTAGTTTGAATTCATTTTTAATACATTTAAATAATACATATTATGTTTTTTTATTCTTAAACGCCTAAATATCCGCCTAAGATTTTTTTTTTTTTTAAAGCTAATTTTTAGCTAATTTCTGCAACTTTCTGTTGGTCTTTAGTATAGATAATGATTTCTGTCAGTAATTTTCTTGCGCAATCGGATGATGCCTGTCTTAGCAACACAAATACCCAGGCAATGAAAAATAATAATAATAATAATAATAAAACTTATACCAGAACTAAACAAGGGAACTAATGAGTTAATTAATGAGCAACGGGTGAATTGAATGAAAATGACAACTAAACTTGGTCAAGACAGGAACAAACACAATGCAACAAAACATACTCCTGACACTTTAAACAATTTGGTCAGTTCAAGGATAATTTATGCAATTGTTCATTTGAAAAAAATTAAAGTGCAGTTTCATGTCCATCCCAACTGTTGGTTATGTCAACATGTTTATATGGGATTTAGAAAGTAATAAGAAATCCAATACTTTTTAGAGTGAATAACTAGTGCAATGATTTTCCTACACTGTGTAAGAAATTGTAGTCTGTCTTGACCCAGATTCCACTCCAAAATATGTTTTAGAATGAGCTCATCCCCAGAAAGGCTTAATTATCATAGAGATGAAAGTCAAGTTAAGTTATAGTGCTTCTTCACCATTTGAGTTGATCACATCCCGAACAAATGGTAGTCAATTGAAGAAGGGACTGGGTGTGGGACACAGAGAACCTTCTCAGACAATACGCTGATTTCATGCAGCCACCATTTTGAAATCGACATCAAGGCTCCGGTTGGAAGAACCCCGGAAGTACAGATAGACAACAATGCCTTGGACTACCAACCTGAAGCTGCTGCCGCGATTTACACCATTGGATGTTAATATCCAATATAGAATATGTAAACTGTAACAGGATAAAAAGTTTAAGATTTGGATGTTCTGGGTTCATTCTGACGCTGGTGAACCCTCCGTGTACCTTGCCACTGCTATGCTGTAATAAACTTAATTTTTGAGATCTTCGATGTCCATATATTTTTTTTCTTACAGCTGTTAAAGATCTTATTAGTAGCTATAATTAATTCCTGGTTTAGAGTAACTAACCATACTATACATTTCAATATACAAATGGCCATGGAGGTGTTGCTTTGGTTAGGCTACCTCCTCATACATTTAGTGCAAATTATTTAACATTTCATGGTTATTAAAGCATTTGAAATTGCTCTTAAATGTAAACATGCCTATATTGGGAAAACATACTTTAATGGTTTTCATGGTTATTAAAGCATTTGAAATTGCTCTTAAATGTAAACATGCCTATATTGGGAAAACATACTTTAATGGTTTTAAACTTTTGTTTTGACTTCCTTTTGTGAACATTGCTAACGACTTTGTCAGTTGTTGAGTTGTAACAGATATCAAATGTAATTTATTCTGATTTTATAACTGATTTTATTCCCTGTTAATCCTTATGAAGAAGCCATTTAGAAAAATGAGAAAAGAGACTTTACCTAAACGAATTAGAGGAAAGCAATTTGATGGCAGAGGATTTATTGTGAACTACTAAACATTAACAAGGTCAATGGGAGTCAAACGATTTTCCATGCTTAATTTCCATATTTCTTGTTCGTGCTTCAAATGTGATATAAGGTTTTGTGTTTTAAATAGGGCTGTCAAATGATTAATCACGATTAATCACATCCAAACTAAAAGTTTGTGTTTACATAATCTATGTGGGTGCACTGTGTATAATTATTTATATATATAAATAGACACACACATGCATGTATATATTTAAGAAATATTTTCATGTATATACTGTATATGGATTTTTATATAATTTATATTATATATAAATATACATATTTATATATAATAATGTTTTTTTCTTAAATAATATACATGCATGTGTGTATTTATATATACAAAGTAATTATACACAGTGCACCCACATATATATTGTAAACAAAAACTTTTATTTTGGATGTGATTAATCGTGATTAATCATTTGACAGCCCTAGTTTTAAATTAAGCCAAACATGAAAACTAAGTTTGGTCTAAAACGCCAAATGCCAGATAAAGTGATGTGAACGGCCAATAACTTATAAGGCCTTTCCTCTCAGAGAAAAAAATGACAAAATATAGAACTAGCACAAATAAAAACAGATTGTACCACTGTATTGTGTTTTGGTTATGTGCAGTAGAAAATAAACAGACTGGAAAGAAATTCCACATTGTTTTTCTGGACGGTCACCTTTCTATCATCCAAAACATCATAAACCTGTTTCCTTCTGCATTTGAATTGCCACTATTAAATGAATCACGCATTCATAGACAGGTGGGTTAGTGTCTATAACTCAGCTGTTTGCAAAAGATTATATAGGCCTAGGCAGTGGTGTCCGTTTGCAGCACCCTTCATTTGGGATCCAGGTGGAGCTAGTCTATTAAACAAGTCCAGGTGACATCTTCCTGTAGTCCGTCTCAAATAATACCATACTGGGCGAGCTCGTGCAACTCCAGATGGCTAAACGCTTCCCATGGACACACCACAGTGATGTCTGTGCATGAAAGAAATTGGCAGATGAAGCACAGTGATGAGCCAGACAGTGAGCAGAATCAGTTTGCAAGAGTAATGGGTTTAGCACTACACAACACAGTAATTTGAACACTAAAAAAGCAACGTTCCAAAGGCTGTACTCACCAGTGCCAAGACCCTCCATTCCTGGGATCTCATCACCAAATCTAATGAAAGGAGAGAAGAAATGAATCCCAAAGTTAAGTCTATTTCCTCATACAAAGATTCCAAAAGGGAGTTTTCACAGAACCATTTAGTTTTAAAAGAACCAATAACTTTTCTTACAAAGAAAGAAGCTTTTTACACTTTTAAGAAGCTTGAAAAGGAATGAAAAGGTTCCGTGGATGTTAAAGGTTCTTCATGGGACCATAGATGCCCATTAGGAACCTTCATTTTTAAGAGTGGAGAGATCAAGTAGGTTTGAACGTTGTATTCTTCTCACCCTTTGACTCCCTTCTTGGGAGGTTTGCTTTTGAATTGTCTAGTCATTCTCTGTTTGAATTTAGGGGGTCCTCTTTTGGGTGTTGTTGGTCCTACTCTTGTTGGGATGGATGAGTCACTGAGGCTGTCGCAGCTATTTCCCGAGCTCATCTCATACACCGTTTCCAAAAAATCAGGCTCTTATGTGGGCTCTAGTGTTTGCAGATGACTTCTCGTTCAATGTCAATCTCTCTCCTTGTGGTCGGCTTAAATACACTCAGACTGGTTTTTGTTTGCGTCAATGGGTCAACGACAAAGCCTGACAGATTGGCACAGTGACACAGCAGCAATCTGTTCCAGGTTAACTCGGGCAAAGGGCCAGGATTACTCCTTGGATTTTGAAAACACAAATTGGCCTTCAGTGAGAAATCTTTCTGAATGGTCTACTTGCATAGTTAAGTTCACCTGGAGAGTCTTTGATGGGTTAGAGAGAACATATTTTTCATTCATGCCATATGCAGATGAAATTAATGAAAACTAAATCGTAAGAGATGTGCACTCACAAGCATTAAGCTGTCAACAACTTTGATATGACGTTTCAAAGAATCTTATTGAGATCTTTGCAAAGTGAGTTGAATATAAATTTACTCTAATTTTTACTAATTTTATTTAAAGTTGAGAATAAACAAACAATGACTTTGTCAAAGTAGCACAAATAGAACAATTAAACTGGAAATATTAATCTTAAAAATTTTTAGATATTAATTTAACTCACAACTTGTGAATTTCTCAAAATTTCTCAAAAATCCATCCACCCACCCACCCATCCATCCATCCATCCATCCATCCATCCATCCATCCATCCATCCATCCATCCATCCATCCATCCATCCATCCATCCATCCATCCATCTATCTATCTATCTATCTATCTATCTATCTATCTATCTATCTATCTATCTATCTATCTAATCTATCTAATCTGTCTTTCTATCTATCCAGCTTGATAGATATCTATCAAAACCATAACTTATAATAATTAATTTTGAAATGGTGCCCTATACAATATTCAACACTACATTAAATACATTGAGAAAGACAACAGTATTGTCTACACTTAATATGGCACAGGGTTGCTGACGTTAAGTGTGGGGTAAGCTATGTAAAAAGACTACTTTTTAGTCCCTGACATTGTGAGTGATGTTGAGCAGTGAGCACCATTAAGAAGATAATGACACACAGAGACAGACAGATGTCAAATGTAGAACTGGGATATGACAGTCATATGTCTGAAAGCTTTAATACAATTTGAGAAAGAACACCAGATTCTTTCAGAGAGGAGGACTTCAGGCCAACAGGTAAAATATCATCTCATGATATGAGATGAGATGTGCAGCCTTCTTCAATTATATTTGAACTGATGCAAACTTTTAAAGATATGCAGTTTAAGGGAAAAAAGAGACCACAAAGTCCTCCATTGCAGGTTCACAGCGTGATCTGGGTCTCATTGTAAGTTAAATTAAACTCTCATATTACCCACCATTCCCTGCAGGTAGCTCCTAAAGTGTATTTCGAAGATCTATAAAGAGCCTTCTGTGGCAATGCCATTCAACTGAGAAAGCATAACTTACCTTGGTCCCAGATCAGTACCTGATTGTATTTATAGAGTAAGAATTATTAGTAGCAGTCAATAGTAGCCATACATACACTTTTATAAACAATGAATACAAATATTAAACACTAATCCAGCTGGGGAAATGTAATTCAACTTTTAAACAGAAGAGGGTGGTAAGAATCTTAATAAAAGCAGATGCAATTAACTTGTCTAATAAGAACAGTGGTTTGCCAGGGGCCATCTCACATGGAGCCCAAAGCTTACTATAGTACTAAATCTAACTTAACCTAACTTAAAATGCTGCTTTAAAAACCTTTTAGATCAAGATCTATGGAAACTGACATCATAATCACAGCTGAGATCTCATTCAGGCCACTGTAAAGTTGGTTTGTGCAGAACAGATTTGAATATTGTCTTGGATAACGGAGGGCCTTGGAATCCAAAAGACTGAACTGCTAGTTTCATTTCTAGAGGACAAAAACAGGAATGACTGATTGATAAAAGCTGTGGTTTGTAGCCACTTCTTCAGCATTCCTTCTCTACTCAGAACTCCATTAATCCCTCCTCTAGTCTAGGCTACTGTATTGCAAATCCAGCAACTGTCTTAATTAAATGCAAAGACTAAAAAAAAAAAAAAAAACATTTAAAACGAAACAAAAAAGAAACGTTGAATGCTACGAAGTATAGGCTATGACCAAATCTTGGAACTAAGTCTAATGCAATAACTGACCAATTTTAACTGTCCAGATTTATTGTCTTATGCTCTATAACACATTAGGCTATATTTATAACTTTATATATATATATATATATATATATATATATATATATATATATATATATCTTTACATTTAACATTCAGCTTTTGTAGATATATTAGGCAAAAGACGTGTATTCATTTGTATTAAATTTAATTATATTCAAAGCAAATTATATAAAAGTTACATTTGTGACATTATGAAGCACTTACTTCCTACAGACTAAAGGCGCAGCTGTTTGCAGTATTGTTTTACAGAAATGTCGAACATCCTGTCGAGGAATTTACAGGCATGTTGAGACAAAATGTCACAAACCCTATTTGAGCAGATGAGTTTGAGTTGGCTACAAGGCATCTTTAGGAACTCATATTTTGGCACAGATTCCTGCAGAGACGCTGCAAACTGGAATGTGTAGATTGACACTGCTTTCTTAATTTTAGATAGAGTTCCTCCTATGTCATTAATATATTGCTACTAATAGCCTACGGAACATAGTTGTACATCGGAATTTTTAAGAAAAGTTTGAGAAATCTGTTTAATTACACAATATCAGATTCACAAAGCTAACGTTGCAGTAGCTAGTTTGCTTTGCAGCACGTGCAACAGATGCTTGTCACTCATGCTTGTCCTGTGATTCTTTTTCGACATTTTACATACTTTTGCCATTTCTAGCAATGTGATATTCTTTTGCAAGTAGCTACAAACATTAATAGCGATATTTACAAACCCGTAAAACAATTGAAAAAGTACTGGGCTGGTGTTTCTCTTAGTCTTAACAGTTTAGTGTGAGGCGTAGAGTTGTGATTGGCAAACTCTATTTCCTGGTAGCCTACGCACATGATCTGAACACTCTTGAACATCCGCAATCCGCATCTACAGTTCTGCAAGACGAGAGACGGCGGTAAGACACTTTTACTTATTACTTTACTATCTAACTTTGTTTTTAATGCTGAGAACCGTTTTGTTTCGCTGTAGAAATGATTCAATTGATTGATGGATGGATGGATGGATTGCATTGACAGCCTACAATGCAAACAAAATTCATACCGATATTTTAAAGCTGGCTGCTATATATATATAGCCTATATATATATATATATATATAGCCTATATATATATATATTTTAATTTTTTTTTCCCTGAGTGACATTCTGAAATGGGAACGTCTTGAACTGTAGGAGGTTGGAAGTAACTTGCAGATTTAAACTTTATTGTCAAGATTTCAATTCACACAGTTCAAATGTATGATTCAAGTTCATTTTGACAGCAATGTGTGCTACTGAATGATATTAATATCTGTTATACTTTTGTGCACTAAATCTCATATACCATAGTATTAGCCCCTGCCCCCATTCTCTAACTTTCGATGTACTTTTTTGGTAAAGTCGTATGCAACCACATCCTCTTCTAACGTAAGACCAAACTGAGATCCTGTTCTGACTGGCTCCTGTGTCTCGATACACGACAGGCACCTTACTGCCATCATAAATCACTTTATAAGTATAGTATTAAAAATGAGCAGAATGAGCAAATCATCAGACTTTTATGTTATGTGAGAGATAATGTAGTCTGTTATTATATATAAAAACATCCAGATGCATCACCCAGGGGTTTATTTTGGAATTATGACTAGTACTGTACAATATCCTACTTGTTATGCTGAAATGGCCTCAATGGCCACTGTTGTACTTTTGTTTTGATAACACTAAGTGGTATGTAACCTATGTAAGCTTGCTAAATAAAACATAATAGTCTACCTTCTTACGAATGTTATTAAGAGCCTTAAAGCGCTTGAACCCAGATAATGGCTGCTCACATCTATATTTTTAATTAAAATTATTTTATTAGCTTACTTGTGATAGTATATCAGAACTATTTGAGCTCTGAATGTTGCAAAGTGACCAATCAGAATCAAGAATTCCAGAAAGCTGTGTATTAAAAAAGGTTATTAAAATTACCACATCACCGAGACATGTCAATATTTCAGCTATTTTATTTCATTTAAATTGTTGCATGTATTTCTTTTCATATAACTTTCTTAAACTATCTGAGAATAAGACCATGGGTAATTTTACTTTTGCATAAATTGCATAAATGATAAAGTTGATTTAAAGTGCTGGTGAATCACTGTGATTCTCTCAGTTTAAAAAAACATAAGAAAAAACAAACAAACATCTTTTACACATACTCGCAAAGCAAGTACTATATATGATGGTGTTGTTGAGTGTCTCTATAGTCAAACTGGTATGCTTTCATCATCAGCACGAGTAGGTGTATTGCTATTTTATTGCAGCCTCTGGAGAATTCAAATATGATTTGCTTTTCTTTTGAAAGCTCATTTTGCATTGCCATGGTTTAAGGGGCTGTCAAATGATTGGAAAAATTCTTGCTATGCCTTTTAGCCTCATATTGATGATTGTAGTAGATGACATACATCAAGGTGCATCACAGCCCATAAATAGCCCATAAAAGCTAGCGTGGAAATGATTTTCGAAGATATTATATTATATTTTTAGTTCTATCTGAACAGCTAGCCTAACTTTTTTTCCACACATAAACAAGTGTAGCCACTGGAGAAGCAGCCAAAAATATCACAATTCCTGACAAATCCGCAAAGAGGATGCTGTGTATATTAACTGGCAGACCTCAATAAACGAGATCTCTGTCTATTGATCAAGACACCCGTTTCACTTCCTTCTTGAGGTGGTTGTTGTTCAGGCCTAGGCTTCCGCAGAACTTCCTGAGCTAGTGGAACAGATCTGAATTGCAAGTGAATGAGATTCAGAACAAGCCACAAGAGGAACCATTAAGAAGTATTTTAATTAATTTAACTTTGTTGAGCAAAGTTAGATCCAATTTGTGGGCACATTAAGATAATAGATGACAAGCTTCATTTTAAAAGAATACCAGAGATGTAGACCAACTGGTTGAAATTAGAAGCTTGCTCTTGTTACTTCCTGTTTGTGCAACAGTTTCCAGTCATGTAGATCACAAGTGAAGAGAGATTGTTTTGTCGAAAGTGTGCATGGATGACTTTATCGTCTTGTATGATTTTTTGTTAGTTTTCTTTTTCTCCTAGTAAGGTAAAGGGATCTTTCACCCCAAAATGAAAATTCTGTCAGTAATTACTCACCCTCATGTTGTTCCATCCAACCCCGTAAGACTTTCGGTCATATTCGGAACTCATATTAAGATATTTTTGATTAGAGGAACCGTATGTAAGATTGTGTCCAAAACTGGTACTGCAATCACTTTCAAATTACTGTAGAGTGGTGTATCTCCTCCCCCCTGACTTGAGGTTGCCAGATAGGCTGCAGAATCTAGCAGGATTCTTCTCTGTTTTCAGCCGTCTCCATCTTTCAAAGGCATCTCCTATACAAATCCTTGTTTTATTTTGGACTTTATCACAAAGTATTTCGGAATCATATAACAAGGGTTTTTTGGATTCGTAGAGTTAAACATTTTTTTTTTATCCGACATGTTTGTAGCTGTAACTGTGGTAACTACAGCAGAGCTGGCAACCCGGATGCCACAACACTGACTTGGTGATTGGTAGATAGGTGGAGGGTGGCACATCATACCAAAACAAAGCACGACAACATCAGCATCAGTTTAGGGCTGCAACTTCACTTTTTAAATGACCTGGCCGGACTACTGTTGTCAGTAGTTTCCATTACCCTTCAAATTGCGCAGATTGAAATTGCAAAATGAAAATACGCACAATGGAAACACGTCAATTTCGCAAAAACTTGCGATTACCGCAAAAAAGTTTTTACGTTTGCATGAGGAGATTTTCAGGCAATTCGAAAAGGGAATATTTCGCAAAACTGCAATGGAAACGGCTTTTGCGCATTTACAGTCACCTGACTTAGAAGACGCGGTGTGTTTTAGGTCCATGTTCGCAAATAATAATAATAATAAATAATAATAATAATAATAATAATATAGGCCTATATACAGTATTTAGTGTAGGCCTACAGGTCAAACTAAAATATTGGTATTCAACTTTGCGTTTTAAAAATACAACAATCGTTCATTTTTTGTTTTGCAATTACAGGTTAAATAAGGGAAAACGAATGGACGTACACTGACCATTTGGACATAGTACGAGACAGAGTTCTTTATTCAATTCATTAAAAGAAACAGTAATTACAGGAATAGCCTACTGGACTCTAAACCTCAAAGAAATGCCACAATCAAGACCTCGAAGCAGAAATGAGGGAGAAACACCCAGGAACTCTTTTCCTGGCATTAATGCTTCGATAACACACCACATCTCCTTCCATTAATAATAATAATAATGTCTAGTGCGGTGGCTGTGATATATAAACCTACCAATATCTGTTGCCATGATTTTGGAATGACTTATCGCGAGAGGAAAAAAGACGTTTTAGTCGCATAACATCGGTTAATGGAAACGCCGTCATTTCGCAATTGTTTTTTATCGACATTTAGAAAATATCGCAAAAGTTTTGCACAAATCTATAATGGAGTCGCGCCTAGTATTGAAATGAACATGATTTCTTAACGTCTAGTGAAAAATCAGGGCCATTTTATGATTAATTGAAATAAATTTCTTACATATTGTTCCTTTAAAACGAAACTATCCGGCTTAGAAAAGTTAAAGATATCGTTCAAATAGTCCAAGTGACTACAGTGGCTCTATCTTTGTTTATCAAGCGATGAGAATACTTTTTGTGCACAAAAAACAAACAAAAATAACAAATTTACTTTTACTGTGTTGGAACAACCTGAGGGTGAGTAATTATTGACAGAATTTTCATTTTGGGGTGAACTAACCCTTTAAAGCAGCCCCTGCAAGAATTTTTTTGATATCGTCTTGACAGAAGTAGTCATTGGAAATCACAGCCAGATACCAGCAGTCTTGTGCTTTCAGCCAGCGTAGGGTATTTTGATAGATCTGTTATGTAATTTGTCAAATTCTTTTTCATAGCTGCTTGATTTTAACAACTGTCAGTCAGTCTGAACTCGAATCCCAGATTGGGCATGCTGACCACAATGTGAAGCCTACTCTGTCGGATAGAATAACCACAAATGAGATCTTTTGAGCCGCGGTGGGCAAGTGATCGGTGTGCGGCTGATCGCATGTAACACCGACTGTTGCAGCAAGCCTATTGGATGGTTGTGGTGACCGTTTGTCCCACCCTCGCAACAGTAAACATCATCACAGTTTTCAAAGAAGAGGTGTCAATGCAAGAGGGAGGGGTTTTTGATTTGATTATGAGAGCAATTAAAAAAAGAAATGTCCATGGATAAATATAATTTATAATAAATACTGCAACATTCCATAAAAAAAAAAAAAAAGAATAGTCATTTTGAATTTATGGTGAAGTTCCCCCTGCTTCTTTTTTCCTGAGATAAAACCCCCTGTAATTGGACATGTCTCTGCAAGTTTGGAGTCACATATTCTGCTTAGATTTGTCAAAATACATTTTCAATCAACAGTCACAGATTTTAATATGAAAGCAAACATTTCTCAACAAATTCTCCTAATTATAAGGGTGGTATTAGTTAAGAAAGCTTTACAAATAATAATTTTAATTAGTTGAATGCTTTAGTTATTACATGCACGTTTTTGTGTTATTTTTTTCTTTTGCACTGGCACTTCAGTCGTCATCTGCTCCATTGACATGTCAATCTGCACGTCTAATTTTCTTTTGGCTCTGCACGAGAATGAATAATTAACTTTGTTTTCCATTGGAATTAACTTCCTATGATTATAATACTTGTAAGTACATATAATGTAATTTATAAAATGGATACTCTAAATTTTGATTGGATGAGCCACAATTTTAGCCATTTTGCTTGACCATCGTGACTTATTGCTTCATTATACTAAATATAAATACTACTTCAGATCAGATGCAATGTGTCTTTATCTAGTTTACACATCAGATCATGTGCTGTGTGTGCCATAGCTTTGCACCAGACACCGGTGCACATAAACCAATGTCCTTACAAGTGTCTTGAAAAAAGGCTTTGGCATTGCAGCACCCGTTAGCAAGATGCTACCAACGACAGAGCATCCAGGCCGTGTGAAGTGCAGAGGCACGCCCAGTGTAACCTCCGACAGGTTCCTCTGACAGGACCATGACCCCTGAGAGAGATGACTGAACGACGTGCTGGAGGACTACAAACTAATAGAAAGTCCCCGTTGACCAGAGGGGAAAAAACAGTCTGCCCTCTCATGAGAGCGAGAGAGAGAGGGAGAGATAAATGGGGAAACAATATGATAGTTGATATAAAATGGGGGATGGTAAGAATAATAAGTGTCTCTAGAGAGCAGAAATGTGAAGACAGAGAAATAAAGAGAACGGAGGGAATAAAGAGAACGGAGAGTAGAGGATAATGTGTGTGTGTGTGTGTGAGAGAGAGAGAGAGAGAGAAAGAGGATGAGATCATCGCAGTCTCCTGTTTAATGAGTGATGGGGTTGGGAGGCGTGCTGAACTGAGGCGGAGGGTTTGCTTCTCATGCCGGTGGAATCAATAGCGTCTGCAGACCGGAATACTGTTCCCAAATTACCGCCTCATTGCTAACACTTCAGCCACAGCCGGTCTTCCAGCACGGATTACACACAGATCATTTGTGCATTCGTTCACTCCCTTACTTTCTTTCTCTGTCTCTTACACACTGTCTATCTCTCCCTCCCTCGCTCTCTCGCTCTCTCCAGCCAACCCACACCCAGTGATTCTGTATCTTGGGGTTTTTTTTGTGGCGGTAGAAGGGATGCTGCTGTGAATTCTTTTTTATTTTATGTGTTTTAGGCACAGAATTTTCTTTATCACGGGAGGTGTGCTTTCTTGATTTTTTTTTTTCCTGATTTTTTTGGGGGGAACCTTGTGGAAAAGAGCTTACTCACAATGTTGGGCTTGGATGTTTGTGAATTTGGTGGACAGTTTCTTGAACTGCTCTGGTTAACAGTTTGCTACAGAGGTGAGGATGCATTTATGTTGTCTATTGTGAGATAAAATGTTGAAAAGTTGGAAAGAATGTACTAAAATTAACTGTTTAAAGAATGTTTGCAGTTTATATGCTCTTCAAACTCCACAGAAAGACCTCACATGATTTGCCAATCTAATAGACCAGCCCTAAACCTTCACCTGAAGTAGTTTAAAGCTTATTGTGAATGGCATTTTGTGTGACGACTTCCTTTGTGGAAATAGACATTTTTATAGTTGGCATGTGATGCAGTTAAAACAAGTGAAGGTGGATTGATCAATATGTATTGATCGATCGGTTGTTGCTCTCACAACATTGCTTTGTGTGTGTGTGATCATCATGTTGCTTGTAATTACGTGACACAGATGTTGTTGATTCAGGGCTTCACTCTGCAGAGCTTCTGCTTACTGACACCAATCCAGTCTTCCTCACTCCCACTTTACCTCTTTATCTGTCTTCCACGCTCTTAGTGTCTCCATTCACTTTGAAATCTTACAAGTAATGATGCATGACAAATGAACACCTACCTTTATGTGTAAAGTGGAGAGTAAATGTACATATGTGTGTGTGTGTGGGATGGGTTACAATGACATTGTTATCTAAGATTCCTATACAGTGTTGGATTTTCCATTAGCATTCCTATTAAACTCAATGGCCGTTGCTTAGATGACGCACAGCCCCCTGTTAGTATGTGATTTTGCTCATGGGTGTTCAGTTTTGCAGGTGTTTTGAGGCAGATATCTTACTAATCACTCTAGAGACAGGAAAAATAGAAAGTCAATTTAACTTAAATTTAAGTACCCCCCAAAACAAACCTGCCACTGGTAAAACATTTACTATAATATTATTTTTTTGCAACCATATGCATATGGTGTAGTTACAACAGGTACCAACAGGGGAGAACAAAGCTATGCTAACCAGCTAATCCCAACCAGATCTTATGAGAAAGTGTTTTACTAAGTTGGAATTGCGTACAAATTTGTATGATGATGTGACTGAACCCCTGTACCTACCTCTCAGTGGGGCATTAGCAGGTTGTATGAAAACATATAAATTAATCATTCCAGTTTAGCAAAATGTAAAATAATTATGATTTCTCACAAGACTGTTCGATAAAACGTAATGCCTTTTATCTCACTCAAATCCGTTTAATTTTTAAAATCGCTCATGAAATCATAATTGAATCCATATGTGCTTTGAAATTTGATCAAAATATGATATTTTGGAATGTGCCTTAGCCTTTTATTGATACCCCGGACATTGGCTCTGTCCAAAGATGGCACACTTCATATGCACTTACGGTCTTGTAGACTTGCAATGGCCACTGTGTGCACGTAATCATGAAGTCAATGAGATTGTAGGGTATCCCATTTGTCATTTTAAGTTTCAGAGGGGTGCTTTGCAGGCGATATGCACCCTTGATGTGCACTTTTGCCTGAAGCGAGATCCATAGCAGACTTCTACCTGACAGTCAAAACGCCGTTCCATCGCGAAGACGCAAAATCATAGGAAGATCGTGAGTGTTTAGGGTGCCATTTAGGACAGGGCATTTGACAGCACTGATTTGTGGGCAGTGTGAACAAAGCCAGAGTAGTTTGAGGCAGGGCGATTCCAGTGGAATCAATGGTGTTTAGAGAAAGCGGGCTCCAAGGGACTGATCGGTGCACGGGTTTCTCAGCTCTCTCTATGCCGGACTGCGGGTGCTGACACGCTAAGACCCCCTGTGGCCCAGCAGAGCTGCATCACCACTCAAGCCTCAGCTGCTGCTGCGTTGTGATGGATGGCTGCACGTCAGAGACCTGACACATGTTTAAAGGAGTAAATCAATTAGATTGCATGTAGGAGAAACATAGATTTCAAATAGCTGATGTGTATGTGCTCCCTATAGGGAAAGGCCATATGATTGAGAATGATCACATGCATCATTGCACTACATGCAGTCAGGTGTTCAGCTCTGTTTCACAGATGCTGTCTGATTAACAATCCAGATAATTTCAATGTGTCATTCACCCCCTACTCTTGTGTACTACTAATACTTATTTTAATGTTTTTAAATTTATACTTATTTTTTAAGTGTATGAAAATATTTAAGAGTATTTAATCTGTGTGTTCAGCCATATTCTAGATTAGAATACATGTATTCCTGCTGCTTTGTTTCAGTATATTACAGCCAAAACCTTCTGTGATGGTGTCAAATGGCTTGCAGCGTTCTGTCTCTAAAATTTCCGGCCTGCCGTGGTTTGTTTGTCACTTACTTAAAGGATCAGAGTTTACTGATATGAATCACTCTCAACTCTGCTCTCAGTTTGATTAGCAGAGACTTTGACGTTGTAAAAGTAGTTGAGAAAGGGGAGGATGTGAGGGTTGCAGAACAGTTAATTAAAAATGTTAATATACAGGCCGGGGAGTAAGTCACAGCAGCTACTGATTTGGCTTTCGTTTTAGAGAAAACTGATCTCATAAGTGCAGGCAAGATATTCAGATTTTTTTTTTTTTTTTTACTGTAACACACCATACTTTGAAACATAAATGAATACACAACAGATCCACTAGCTATGTTTCCATCCAAAGTGGCGAATTTAACTTTTGCTCAAAATTGTGGAAATGCAAAAAACCCCCCAAAAAAATGCTTTCATGTTATCTTGTGTTCGTATGCCTGGTGTTTGAGAATAAAATGATGTGATATGCTTCTGGGTGGTCCTTGTACCAAATAATTTTGATAACAGACTTCAGCTTAGGCATTTTATAATGACAAAACCAGCATTTGAGATGCTGTGCAATGAAATGGGTCTGCTGGTTAGTCCAGTTATCCAATCACATCCACTGTTGAGGCAGTCACGTGAATTTTTTGTTGTGCATCGAAGGATTTATTTGGTAAATGTGTTCCCATAATGGTTTATGCGCATGTCATCTTATAGGATAAAAAATGTATTCTCCTTAATTGAGCATGTAAAGGTTTTTATGCACATTTTTAGAATTAGTTCCATCCAGCATTTAATTTTTTTTAGGTGATATCCATAAATACTCAAACATAAAAATAGATAATTGGAGACATAGCCTAGCTAGTATTCTTATGGTTATTTTTGGGCATTTTTAGGCGCTGTTTACACAACACCTTTATCAACCAAAAACGGAAAACATTTTATGTGTTTTGTGAAAACTTGATTCATAGTTCTAGTTTTTGAAAACGATTTCTTTATCGCTTCCGTGTAAACTACAAAAATGTACATTTTTGAAAACGGTGACTTCATGCACACGCATATTATGTCTTCAGTCAATAGGCGCATAATAACATCGCCAACTACTGGCCTGGCAGCATAATACAGCATTTTTAGTAATTTTCGTGGATCCGTGTGAAAAGAGAGCGTTTTAACAAGGTTGTCATCTGTACACGAAAAACGCAACGGAAAAACATTTCCGTTTTTAGTACATTGTTGTCGCATAAACTTTGACCCTCAGGGTTTCATCGCCCTTGATGTTTGAATGAACTTTAGAAACTCTCGTGGGCCTTCCATTCATCTGTTGAAGGTCCACTGAATATTTGGGTGTACAGCTGTTGTGACTGAGTTGAATATGAGAGACTGCAGTTTGTTAGCGCTGTTTGCTTGTTCACTCCACCTCATTAGCTGTGCACTGAAACCTGCAACGCGCCATCAGATGAAAACCAGCATGCTATCCATCACAATGTAGCCAGGCATTTAACTGCTTCTACTGATCAAAGCGGGTCAAAGCATGTTGCCTTTGAAGCTCGAGATGCTGCGGCACACATATTTTACTCAGAAATTATATCTCCGAAGGGTGGGGGAAGGCAATTAAAAAAGCTTGTCAGATTCTTCACAGAATTATTATTGCTATTTAACAGCTGAGCAAGGGTAATTACTGCCATTCTTCTCTTTGCTAATAAAACTGACCTCTCACTAGTGGCCACTGCGAGAATGGCAGTATGTCTCCAGTGTTTTTTACAGAAATGCTTGTCAATTGGTGGGTCGTAATACAAATATGATTCTGGTCCAATTTTTTGAAAAGAATGTAAACTACAAAAACGTGAATTTGTGACAACAGTGACATCATGCGCTGGCCTGGCATGAATAATACAGTGGTTTTAGGTGTTTTCACGGATCGCTGCGATCGGGGAACGTTTGACAAAACGGTGTTTATGGTAATTGTAATTAACTTCAGTATCTGATTTTAAGGACATTTTTAGTTTAAGTTTGTACAGAGCGCTTCAATCAGGATGCTGAGATGCAAATTCACTGATTTAAAGGTTTTTTATGAGGTGGTCTTTGTTACTTTCACTCTTTGAATTACATTGTGAACGATTGCAACTAATTAGCTGTTAGCGTGTGGACATCAGCAATGTTTAATGATTTAATGTGGAATATTAATATGTACCTGATTGAATGGCAGTTTTGAGATGCCATCTTCATTATACAGAAAACATGCCTTGAAAATGTATCTACTGCAATCCATCACTATATGGTTCATTTTGCCTGTAATTTGCTGGAAGAATCTTGGCTTTGGCTTATGGATATGCTTTAAATTGCCCAATTAGCCCAGTCATTCATTCAGTGTGACCAGGGTTCCCTATTGTGAATCCCAGCTCAGGGGATTTGATTTGTGTATTCAGTGTGCAAGACATTTAATTGCTGTGCATTTTTTTTAGCAATATTTAAGCTGTATTTGCACAGGGATAATTAACTAAATAGCCTTAGTTATTATGCACAGGATATTGGTCCAAAATGTGGCCACACTTGAGTAAAATGCTGTAACACTGCAGTCAGTTCAGGCGTTTCCATTTTGCACAAGGATTAGCTATCGATTCATACACATTTATGCATAGCCAAATTTCCCTTCTCACACTTCATTACCACTTTCATCTGTACACATTCAGATTGTTTATTTCTCTGTAATTAGTAGGTTAATTGGCTCACTTTGTCTTCTGCTGCTGGAGTAGGCTGTGCCGTATGTCTCAACTGCATTTTGCACCTGGAAATTGCACAAATCGTGCAGCCACCTAATAAACTATAATCTGACCTACATGTCCTTCCTAAAATTGTCTTCCTGGAAAAACCTTCCTTGTTTTTTTTCCCCCACAGGTTCAATTGATGTAGAGATACAGAATTCATTTCCACACTTTCCTACCTTTTTGTTGGAGGAAATTGGCTACCCATTTTTATATACAGCAGCATATGAGTGTCATGGTCTTCAAGCTAATACTCTCTGATGCAAAAAAAGATGGTGGTATATTTTTATTAGATGCTATGAGTGAAAATCGCTCTTATAAAACTAATGGTGTATTAGAGAATGACCCTCAAAACACCCTATTGATCCCATCAGATCAGATTTTATAGCTCGTCCTTCCATTATTGCATTTGCCTTTACATTACAGCACTTAGGGTTTTTGTTCTCCTTTCATAAAGGTTCATTGTCTCTCTTGATAAACATTGAGGATGATTTAAGCATGTTTCCATGGCTGTGAAGAGCTGGGCTGAACAGTGTACATAAAATCAGCCAGGGAAACATATAAACCTGGGTGGGGTATCTCTGTCTTTCTCTTTTTTTAATCCTAAATTGTGTTCGGGAACATCCATCCTCTAAGGAGTTTCACTTGTTCTCCCCCAGACTACTGAAAGCAATGTAGTCATTGTTTAGATTGTGTTATTTCCCATGAATTCGGTACACTCTGGTGTCCAGTGACTTTATTTTTAGGGATAAAAATATATTTTTTTTATTGTTGTGAGGACTATAAGGTATGCTTGATAAACTATTATCCAATGTTCAATTTATCTAGCATGAAAACTAGCTAGCTTTAAACACAAACAAATGTCTGTACCCTCCTTAAAATTATCAGTTTTGATTTTCCCTCAGAAATCTAGAATGTCTCAACTGTATCCATTAATTTAATACATTGGTGCCATTTTAGTAAAAATTATTTGATTTATCTAACAGGGTTGCAAAAACCTAAAACCTCAGAAACTGAATGGGAAATAAAACAACCCATAAAATATTGAGTTCCACCTCTTGAGTTTGACAAATTATATTTTCTGAAGGCTATGAGTTTTAGGACCCATTTTGTACTCTATTTCTAGAAAATGGCACTATATTTCTACACAACTGAACACTTACACAGTACTGCTTCTCTAGGGGAGTTATGTGGACATTATGATTTAGCTCTCTTAATTCATATGATAAATTGTTGTCCCTGATGTTGGCTTCCTCTATGGAGAGCGGTTTTCTGTGTCTTTATTTTTCTCTGTTTCTCTGGGGAGCAATACCTCTGCTTTCCAGTGATTATTAACTGTTAGGCTGGAAAGCAATGTATTGTTTTTGACAATGAAAACATGGTTTTCAATATCTGACAAGTGGCTGAATTAATATAAGCAATGATTTCTTTAACAGATCTGCGACAACCAGACCAGCTTATTATAATTAAACAGATCTTTTTGCTATATATATTGTCAGACTGTGCATATTTAGTTAGAAACTGTCTCTCAAATGAGCTGAATAAATAGAAGTGGAATTACCAGCGTCAAAGATGATGGATTGTTCCGCTACGTGAGGATTACAACAAATGACTCTGAATATTAAAAGAGATAAGTGTTTAAATCTACTGTCTGTAGTGTTAGCCCATCTGAATTGGTTTGTGTTTCAAACCTAAAAATGTGCAAGAGGAGGAAAGATAGCAGAAAATACATTCAGTCTGTCTTTTACCAGAGCATTACTCATCTGTAAAACCAAGAAATAATCACATTGAACAACACAGACAATGTAGTTTAAGAGGCCATATATTTCGCACTAGATTTTTACACTAATACTTATTTGATGCTCCAAACTTGATCGTGACTGGCCCGCTGAAGTCATTTTCAAAACCAGTCTAGAAATGTGGAGAAAAAGTCATTTTCAGATAATCTTTTAGTCAGCTTTAATCCAATTCAGAACAAGCACAGAAATGTTATCATCTCATAACCATTTACTACAAATTCAGAGGGTTGATAAAATTGTTTAAGTCACAACCACAGCCCTCAGTATAAAATCTGAATGATAAATATAAAAGTTTTTTTTATGACCAACAAGTATGTTGTGAAATCATGGTCATTTTGATATCTGTATGTGAATGTTTATAAATGTTTTTTCAAACTTATTAAGAAGCAACAGAAAAAAAAATGATCTGGAGCTTTAGACCATGGCTAGACCCATCTAAAACCCTAAATTCCTGTTTTTCTTAGGCATAATGGCTGATAAAGAGAAAGACGTGCCAGTGGTTGAGGACGAAGATGAACCAGATCTGAACTACCAGCCTCCGGCTCAAAAAAGCCTGCAGGAGATCCAGGAACTGGACAAGGATGATGAAAGCCTGAACAAGTACAAGCAAACCCTCCTGGGCTCTGGACCTGTGGTGGCAGGTTAGTGTACCTTCACAAGAAAACGCCTATTGCATTTGCACACCATTTATTAATATTATATAAGATTATAATGAATACACTACAATTAAAAACATAATTCTAAATATTCTGTCCATAAAATAATCCAGAAAAAAGGTATAACGGTTTCCTCAAAAATATTAAGCAGCAACTGTTTTCAACATTGATAAAAATAAGAAATGTGTCAGATTATCAGAATGATTTCTGAATGATCATGTGACACTGAAGACTGGAATAATGAATGATGCTGAAAATTCAGCTTAGACATCACAGGAATTACTTCTTAAAATATATTCAAATAGACAACAGTTATTTTAAATTGTAATAATAGTTTACTGTATTTCTGATCAAATGAATGTAGACTTGGTGAATTTTCTCAAAATTTGAAGACATTTTTAGTGAATCACAGTCTCACCCAAAACACTTCTAAAAATGATTTGAATCTTATTGATATTTTGACCCACATTTATAGATACAGACAAATAGTGAATGTTGCAAAGAATCTCATCTTGTGAAGATTGCATTGTCTTCCTGGTTAAAGCAGTAGCTCGGCTCTCCAGGGACGACTCTCCCTTCTTCTCCCGCTGTTTAGATGGATTCAGATCCCCTGGGGGACTCAAGTCTTGGTTCAAAGGACCCAAACAATATCCACTTAACTCAGGGAAACAATGAGAAGGTGGCTATCGCTTAGTCTGAAGAGCATAGCTTTGAACTGCTTTGTTGTTTAGAGAAACATGAATTATGATTCCACTCCCTGCATAACGCTGGATAATTCGCATTTGATGTTCTGTCCCAATACATTATTTATAAGATCTGTTATTGTATTTCTCAGTGAAATAGCTGTAAGAGCTATCTTTTCTTTTTCTTTCTATGATGAATTGTGTCTGTGATATTATGATCAAAGCCCAGCAATCCTAATTTCTTTTGCCACAGGGAAAATCCTAATATACACTTCAAATTCTTACTTGCTGATACAGTGATCCTAAAGGCATAAAAGGCAGATTAATTTCTTCTTGACTCACAGGGCTTAAAACGTTTGATTTAGATGCAATTTAATTTTCTGTTGAGAATCAATCAACGGCAGTAATTTCTTTTCTTTCTTTTTTTTTCATTCAAAAGCAACTTGTGTGCCCCAGGGTATTTACCTTGTAAGTCCTCTGATTCATAAATGATTCATCTTTGTTCTGTTGGTTATGGCCAGGTTAATAATAGCCTTTACTCAATATGCTGGAATGCAAACGGCAGCTTGTGCTGGTATTTCATTGCGTTTTATGTTTCACTATAATGACTGAAAGATCTGCTTACTGTCTTGAGATCATGATGACCAATCAGGGCAAGGCAAAAAAGTGGATCTTTTGCCTCTTAAGAACTATGATGCATACACTTCCTTATGTCCTTATTTCTTATATTGTGTAGGTAGGGAATTAAAATTACAACATAATTCACCCTCATGTCGTCCCCAATCTGTATGTTAAGTTCGGTACCAGTGTCATTTTAGTACTATTAATGTATTATTATATTTTTTTTATTATCTTGAATTCTTTTTTATTTTTATATTTTCCGTTTTCATTTGAATTTATAGTGATTTAATTATGCTTGTCATTTTTATTATTTTTTAAAATATTAATATTTAGTTTTATTTAAATTTTAGGAATTTTAGTGCTTAAACTAAAACATACTTCAGATAGTTGCTAAAAAAAACATTTCTAATGTTATTTATCTAACAATAATCAGTACATTATTAAATTCTCCTTTTGTATTACACAGAGTCACCACATTTTTTGGTGAACGATCCCTTTACCCCTTCTCTGAGGATGAAAACACTGGAAATATGTAACGGGTTCGTCCTGACGTTCATTCATTTGCCAATAAGATCTTCTCAGATATAATAGTGGGATTATGCCAGGGTGATCAGTCATGTTTGGTGCTTGCGGTCCCCAGTGCGCAGTTTTGCGAGTGAGCATGCCTGCGGCGGGTGGCAGCACTTGTAGCCATCAGCGGATGATTAACTGTAGTTCCCACTTTTAAAACCAGCCCACCCTGCATCAATAACACTACATCAATGAGACCCGTCCAACAATTTGTTATGTGCAGTTTTACACCACTAGCTCCCTTTTGGCACTGCAGAAACAATCATTAGTGGAACAGTAGAGTTAAGCACATAAAGTAAGCTAGTCATCTGCCCTGCATGCTTCATCGGACAACTTCTATGATGTAGGGCCTATGGGAGTTCACATATCACTCTTACTCTGTATAAACTGTGCGTGCATGCGTGTGTGTGTGTGTGTCCTTTTTTCATGGAGCTTGACAGACATACCTTAGTCATAATGCTCTATGGTTGTATGTAAAAAAGATTCTCCTTTTGTGTTCCAGTGAGAAAAAAAATAATAATAACAGCAAGCATGCAGGTTTTGAATGACATGAGGGTGAATAATGACTGACTTTTCATTTTTGGGTGAACTGTTCCTTTAAGGGGTGGGGCAGCCGCAGCTCTATCACTGTTAAATGTGCTGAGACAGCATGCTGGGGTCACTAACCTGCAGTGGCTCTGTGTCCACCTAAACCCTGACAGGTCCGATCTATTTCTTTAATGGCCAGAGCTCCTGTGGACACAAGAAACCAGGGAGGGAATGCATGGCGGCTTATTAGCAACAGTGATTGACAAGACTTGTTTAAATGCCTCTTTATCTTATAATGAAGGTGATTATGTTTGTGAAAGACAGTGTAGTTCTGTTTCAAAAACCTTCTGAACTGCATTTTAAAGAATTGTTAGCTCTTTCCTGACACAAAGGCTGTTCCAAATATTGGCAACTTATGCTGTCTTTTAAGATTACTTTTTTTTTATATCCAAGATGGTGAGAAACATGTATATTATGAACATATTTTGTTCAGTTCCGAAAGGTACTCATAAAAATAGCCCAATTTGTAATTCAAATTGGTCAATTAACAAATATTTGTGTTACTTTTGCTGTATATTTGTATGCTGAGAGTATTATTCCTAGCAATATGCTAACATCAAACTCTTTCCCCAATATTTGTGTGTTTTTGTTATTTATTTTTATGAGTTATTGAAATATCGTCCCATTAGCTGCAACATGTTAAACGTCAAACTTAATTGCAATCAGTTTTACTCTGTCATTTTTATATATAGTATCATCCTGTAATCTTAGCTACATGCTAACATTAAACTCAATTGAAATCAGTTTTACCCAATATTTGTGTGTATTTTTTGTACGTGTTTGAAGTATCGTCTCATTTAGTGTTAACGTGTCAATATGTTAACGTCAAACTCGATCAGTTTTACTCAGTCTGTGAATTTTATGTTTTCATGCGTTATTTGAGAATCGTCTCATTAGCTTAGCAATTGGCAATCTGTTTCCTGTGAGGAACTTTGTTCATGCGGTGCCTATATAGTGTTACCGCAAAGTCACTCACGAGGTTCCATGACCGTTAGTTAGAATTTTAAGTAGGCAGTAGGCATTAAGTCGACTCACTAGGTTTTGGAACACAGCTTTTTATATTGACGACAGATAAAACAGTGGAAGTGAGAGTGAATTGTATGACTGGAGAAACCTGTCTTTCCACAAACCTGAATTGATTATGTTTATCTGCTGATATCTGAGATGATTAATGTGTCTTATTTACACACTGACTGGCCAGTATGTTGCAGGTGCACATGAAATCCCTGTTTCCCCCTCCTCAATTTTCTTTATTTAGTCCAGTCTAATCATCTTCCCTCTGGGCTGAGACGCATGATGAATGTGAGGGTGAATTGGCTTGGAGAATGATACTTCAAATTGTGTGGAAGATGTGTGCTTTCACCTTTTTCTAAGTGATCACAATTTTGTGACGGGGAACTTGTTACAGGCGAGCACCACTCAAATTTGCTCCAGAAGCGTTATTAACCAGCAAATCATTTTGGTCTAAAAGCTTCACTGCATGCTGAGAATATTAAACCCAGTAAACATTGGTTGCCTATTCCCGCTTAGGAAAAAAAAAGGCTATTCTGATGGGTTTATTCTGTAGGTACAGTAGTTTACGAATGCTTCAATAATAAATGTAGAGGAGACATTTTGCTGTTTCTCATCTGTTTCATTTATTGCATTGCAGATCCCACCATCCCTAATGTTCAGGTGACCCGGCTGACTCTGATGTGTGACCAGGCCCCTGGACCAATCACCATGGATCTGACAGGTGAGTCTCACAAGACAAACTAGTCAACAAGTGTTAACATAATCCACTTTATTTAAAATGAGAGCTGTCAGCCGATTCAATATCATTGTATTTATTTAGATTAATCAGATATACTAATACTTCTGAAAATCCCTCAAATGGGGTTGTTTTATTTGTTTTACTGTTATACATTATTTAGTAATTTTGCACAGATGTTTTTTTTAATATATGATTAATTGTATTAAAATAATACTACATTTACTTTTTATATACTATTATATTATTTATTAATATTTTCAATTCGATTTTATTTTTTAGATTTTCAGTTCTATTAATTTTGTTATTTCTATATAGCTAATTTGTTCGGTTCTTTTTTTCTATCTAATATTTATATTTTGTTATATTTAAGCTTTATTTCAATGAATGACAATTATTTTTATTAGTTTTAGTTTTATTTAACAATATGATACAATTTACTTTATTGTCCTCTTAAGGAATTTTTTCTTGGGCTTAGTGTATGCTGCATTTCACACATAAACAGTGTCTCACATAAACAGTCAAATAGTCCAGTTATGTGAGCAACAACAACACTGATGACCCTATTTAAAATCCAAAGCATTCAACTTATACGTGATTAGTATCAGTAGGATAATAGTTATGTGGGTTGAGGTAAGTGGGATGAATCTGTGATCTGTGGTTTTGTCAACACAAAGGCTGCTGATCAAGAGCTAGGAGGGCAGTTGCTTAGTTGACACTATTGACAGAGCCTCAGTTGCTCTGCACTGCATCCTAATGCTTCACCTCCCCTGCCTTCAGAGGGGTGATGATGTCATTCCTTGCACTGCCAGCCAATGTCATGCAAGCAGGCAGGAGATGGAGATCTGCAACACAAATCAACACACACTGCTGTATGTAACCATGTATCCACCCTCGATACACTAGAGGGGACAGTCTGGTCTTTTGACGGTCAGAGCAGGTTTCTGCCCCCTCCTTTGCCCTCAGCCGGTTCAACTGTGGTTTTTTTTTCTCTTTAACAATGGGAATACGGCAAAAGGTCACCTGGTTGCTAGGCAATAGTATGATTCTGGGCTGTTTAAATCAGAGATTTAAAGTAAGAAGCCCTTTTCAGGTATAAAATCGGTAACATCCTTCATTCACAGTGTCAAACCTATATGCAGCAGCACATTTCCTCTTCTAGAACAAAACCAGAAATGACTTGCGGTTTGAGTTGGTTCAGGAAGGCGTTGTCCTCTTAACACAGAGTACATTGCTGCGCTTTTGTGTGTGGACTTCCTGTTTAGCAACTTTTCCTTAAATTACCACTGCACTGAAATTACAGAACAAAACAATGTTTATTTCTTTATCGGTTGCTTGATGGGTGGTTAATGGGTATTATAGACTTAAAACTCATGTAATATGTAACTCATAAATCTATGTAAATCGAGACAAAGGGGTTCAGATCAGTGTACATTTTCTTTCTTTCTTTTGGTCATTTGATGTTTAGTTCAGTTAATTATTTTTCTTATTTTATGTAAAAAAAAATCTCTGTCTCTTTGATCTCATTTATTAATTCTTGTTATTAATTGTGGCCAAAAAAATGTTTCTAGTAATTACACTACCATTCAAATGTTTGGGGTCAATACATTTGTTTTTATAGCAAGGACACATCAAATTGATCAAAATTACAGTTAATTACAGTTAAATTACAGTTAAAATTACAGAGTCATTTATAAGCACAACCATTTTCAACTAAAAAATAAGAAATGTTTCTTGAGCAGCAAATCATCATATCAGAATGATTTCTGAAGGATAATACATTTGAAAATAAATTAGATTTCCAAAAATTTTGAATAGAGTATTTTAAAACATTTTAAAGCATAGTTTTTGCACTGAAATACCGTGTAAATACGCTGTAAATTCATTCCAATCCATAAATATAGAGCGAATACTTCACTATACAAGAACCTGCAGATAAACAGCATAAAATATCATTCCACAGCCTGAGCAGTAAACAGGAGCACATTAGAGGTCTGTGATCAGGAACACAGATGAGTCCTGCTGTGAGTGACATCCAAGCGTGGCACCTCACTGTTGGAGGTCCACTGGGACGGAACGCGCTAACCAGACTGAGTTTTTGATGGATCTGGCTGGATCGAGACGCAGTGGAAGAAGACTGTAACGGTTAGCGGTAGATGAAGGTGGGGAGCAGAACCTGACTGCACTCAAGACTCGAATAGCACTCAGCGTGACAGCAGAAGTTCTGCTCTGCTGACGTTCAGATTAGAGCAGCAGGAATCCAGACCTTATCATGCCGCTCTTAATTGAATCCGAATAGTCCATATCCGAGCAGTTGAATATTTTGCAGTGTTCGTCGCATCCCCTGAGAGAGATGTGAATAAAGCACAGAGGATTCACTCTTAACCCAGTCTGCACTCCAAAAAAATCCTTACAAATGTACAGTACTGCGCAAAAGTCTTAAGCAAGGCCGATTATGAATGTAATCTGATACTTACAACTGATCATGTGTTCAGTTCAGACTTAGAATCTTTCAGCTAGTCGAATACATTGGAATTGTAACAATCTAATGATATGTTTGTATGTACAAGGAGTCTGACAACAGCCGGTGCTCCACACGGAGATCTGATCTCACCATCAAGTCCGTCCGTGATTACATGAAGAAACAGAAAAAAATTGAGACAAACTAATCCCAGAAAAACTGCGTCAACATTTCTAACACGCTTGAAGAAAACTTCCTGCATATGCGAATGATCGAATGCGTGTTTATTCTCAACAACTCGTAACACAACATGTTTATTCTCAAAGTATAATGAGTCTATTCTCAGCAATTGAGTTTATTTTCAAAGTATACATTTTTTATACGTGTTTTTTCTCAAAACACGACTTGATTCTTGAAATTTAAATTTAGTTTATTCTCAGCATTGTATTTCAAGTTTTATAATCTCGCATTAATATGACTTTAAAAATGAGATGGTGTTTATTATTACTTGGCACTAATCCTCTTCTGTAGGAAACGTATCTTTTAGTAAAGCGAGATTCAGTGAGTTATGTTGATGGTGATGATGTGTCTGTGTTGAACGCTGCAGCAGTGGGAGTGAGGGTGGAACGGGCCGCTCTCATTCTCACCTCTTGCCAGATTTCAGCTCCTCCAGACTGCTAGAGCCTCCGCTGGGATCTTCCTTATCCATCTCCATCTTTGCTCTCTCCTAACTGTTGTGTGGGAGTCAAACAAATGACATACCAGCTACAACAACTTCAGCAAACTGTTCATTACCAACCAAGTCCTTCAGAATCTTTAAGCACACACAACTACTCACATACACATACATACATGTGTTTGTATGTGTGCGCGTCTTCGTTGTTAGGATCAAATGTCACTTCCCATAAAATCTGAATGTTTTTTGTTATTAAAATGTAAAAATAATTCAGAAAGTTTTCTGTGATGGGTAGGGTTAGGGGATAAAATATAGTTTGTTTGGTATACAAATTATTATGTCTATAGATGTCCCTGGCCCACTGCCATAAGAGGGCATCGACCCCTCTTCTGAAGATCAGATTTGTACCCCCTAAGTTTCAATTTGTGCCCTATCCCCCCTAGACTGCGATGGCCCCTCATGATATTACAGTTTTACTGTATTTTTAAATTAAAAAATGCAGCCTTGTTGAGCATAAGAAACAACATGCAAACTTCTGAATAGTAGTGTAAATGTGTGTGTATATGTAGTGTGTGCGGACAGTCTAACTTGCATGTAAGTGGAGTAGATCAGCATTTCATAATGAGATCACACACCCTACGTTTTAACTCTCACTGTCGCAGACATGGACTAATCCTCTAGTCCAATCAGGATTATGTTATTATGTTATTATCAGAGCTAGATTTAGTCAATTACAGATATGGAATTTTCATCTTTTTGATGTAGAAAAGGTTTTGAGAGGGTCGATGCCGCTTCTGTTATATTGACATTGACATCACACGTCAGCACATGCAGAGAAACCACTTCAAGATGGAGAATCTCCAAGCGAGGTCCAGTTCCACTAGATGGTAAAGCCTCTACAGCCTAAAAATAGTATTAATGTTAAGGAGATTAATAAACAGTCTGGCTTTTGGCATCACGTGAATGGGCCACAAATCATCATTAATGTTGTTCTTTGTATCAATCTCCAATTTCTCCTTCCTCCCTGGTCTCTTTCAGTATCCATTACAAAGCACTTAGTGCAGATCCAAGGGATAAATTGATAACGCAGCAGTTGCACTTTTGTAAGGAAGCTCTTTGCATTGAACTCGGTTGAACTACAAGCAAAATGCGACCTGCCACATAAAAGGCTTGCAGTTATATTTCTTTAAAAAATGTGTTGTGAAAAGTTAGTTTCAAAAGCAATTTTAACATTACAATATTGCGTTACTCCCTGAAATGTAATTAGTTGCATTTGGTTAAATTACTTTTGTTACTTTTTCTCACCTGGGCTGGGCTGGGCTTGCTTGTATCTTTTTTAATGACAAAAAAGATATATTTTAGCAAATGAAAAGACTCTTACACACCAAAAGTGAAATGTATAAGTTTAACGTTGAATGAAATGCAAATCCACGCGAGCCTGTACCTTTCGGCTGTGCTGCCATTCTCAATTGCAAAATATATATATGGTGCAGCTTTCTCCTGATTTCATTCAACATGGGGACAGGAGAAGTGTCAGACTATAAATGGGAAAACTACGGTGGCCGAGAGAGCTCAACGTGCTGCAACTGAAGAAAACGCATGCAAATAGAAAAACACCAGCAAATTAATAAAACCTCTTCATCAGTTTCACAAAACATGTGTGCTCCAAATACTCACAACACAAACAACATTTCTGGGTTTCAGAAATTCCGAGCGTGGAGCCCTGGACAGCAAGCCAAGTATGCATAACCTTAGACCTTAGTAACTATAAGTAGATATACTGTATAACACATATAAAATGTATTTGCAACAGTTTGTTAACAGCAATAATAAGATATTTCTGGTAATAACAGCTCTTTAGCTGATGGACATGGTGCTGCGTTGTCATGGGAACATCCCTGGTGAAAATAATGAGGAAATTGCATTGTCTTTCATTGCTCCCTTCACCAAGTGTGTTCCACACGGCTACATAATGGCACACAACTGCTCTGCTCCCTCCAAAAGGGCTCTGCCCTTCGAAGGGAGTAGGACATAGGGAAGCTCACGAACAATAAGCACGTCCCAGCCGGGTTCGTCACCTGTTGGGCTCCCCTGGAAATGTTTCCATTGTGGTCTGTTATTTGCAGCGCGTTTCAGTATTTGTTTGTATTGTGAGTATTTGGAGTACATGTGTTGAGCACACTGATAAAGAGGTTTTATTAATTTGCTGGTGTTTTTCTTCAGTTGCAGCACGTTGAGCTCTCACACCACCATAGAAAACAAAGTCCTGGTGTTACTTTTTTGAAAAAGTAACTGATATTTTCTTGTAAATTTAAAAGTAATGTGTTACTTTGAAAAGTCAACTGATTACGTAACTCTCGTTACCCCCAACACTGATTATAACAATGCTTAATTCAACTTAATTTCATTCTGGCTGATTTTTTTTTTTTTTTTTTTTTTTTTTTTTAACACAGGTGACCTTGATGCTTTGAAGAAGAAGAGCTTCACCATGAAGGAGGGAGTGGACTACAGGGTGAAAATTCACTTTAAGGTAAAATTGAACCCAAGCTTCTGCAGCCTCAGAGCATGTATACATGAAATGCCAGTGCAGTCTCATCCCAAGACGTCATATAACTGACGTCTTGGGACGTCTTTTGACCATACGTCAACATCCGCCGTTTTAGGGTACCCTTTAACGTCGGTTAGATGACGTTATCGGATCCTACCCCAGACCTAAACCTACCCCTAAAACCTACCCCGTCACCTAACTGACGTTAAAGGTAAAGCGTCAGTTGTATGACGTCCCAGGATCGTTATGTAACTGACGTTAAAGGGTACCCTAAAACGGCGGATGTTGACGTATGGTCAAAAGACGTCCTTAGACTTCAGTTATATGACGTCTTGGGATGAGACTGTGTTAGAAGTGCAAGGCTAGAAGTGGATAGATTGTTTATTTCCTGTCTTGATCAGGCCAGCACTATGAAGAACATAGGGAAATACACACAGAAACTCTTTCCCAGGCTAAAAATAACACACTTAAAATTAGTTGTAAATAGTTCGGGTTACAATGTAAGCAGTGTTGGTCCTGAACGCATTCATTGAACTCGTTGATATTTTGGGCGAACGTGAACTGAACGTAGTGTATTTCTGCTTGATGAACGTTACTGTGAACTCGTTCATTCTGGTGTCTGTGAACGCACGCTCTCTCAGTAACTTATAGTAATAGGGTGCCAGATTTCTATAGACTATCACAGTCCCACCGCACAGCCCGAGAGAGCATTGGTGCCGGAAGTAAATTTCTCATTAATTTCTCCCATTGACATTTTGTAAAATCCATATCTAAAGAGTATTAGAGCATGTCTGAGAAAATGCAAAAAAGTCAAGGGTACAAGCCTGTGTACATATTTTCATTTCCGAGCAAAGAAACTACTCCTCCCATAAACCACTGCGCCTCACTAAAGTTGACTGAAGCCACCGTGAAAGAGCCTTTTGGGTGACTTCCAAATCTGACGACGGCCACCTGAACTTTTTCCTCCAGTTAATTTTATATAGTGAATGTGCAGGGAAACTCCTTTTTCTCGATTTACTGAAGCTTACAGTATATGTAAAACGCATTTGCAGCTGCACATGCTAAAACATTGAGCATCTGGCTCACTCATAGGCTGTGCTGCGGCAAATGCACATCCAATGCTGCGGCGTCGTCTCTGAGGTGCGACCAATGAACTTAGCCCTACGTCATTACACTATCTTCAGTCTTCACGTACCTTTGTGGGGTTTCAGACACGTTACACAACTTCCACCAATCAGATGCATCACTGTGGGATTGTTCAGGATTGTGGGTAATCAAGTACTTATCGAATACATTGTGAATAAAAGGGATTTATCTTAAAACAAGGTTAGTGCCCCATGAACTTTTGGCGTTTATATGAGCATATATAGTCACTTAGTACAGCCGTAGCTGGTTTTAAGTCTACCATGTATGGTTAAGTTTTAATGGCCTATATCCCAACTGTCAATGGAGAAATTGTATTGAATTTTTACTTCCTGTGATGCTCTATAGAGCCTTCCAGATGAAAACTCAGCTAAAACACACTGTTAATTAAACAGGCCTTAATATGTAGCGGAAAAAACACCCAATCTGGCAACACCAGCCACCAGTGTCGCACCACCGCATGTGCCATCAAAACAAAAAACATCATGTTGTCGCCAATGCAGCGCCGTCGTATGATTATTTAAACGGGTTTTAAGACAAGATCGTGAGGATGGGGAAAATCTTACATTTCTGTGCAAACTTTGCCCGCCGATAAAATTATTGCTGTCTGTGTTTGAATATGGGCGGTGACAATAAACAAAAAAAATTTGCAGCAACAAATGGGGGGAAAAAACTATGATCTAGTTCATTTTTAGAACTGTGAACTTAGTTCAAAATTTTGAAGTATGAACTATGAACCGAACTAGTTTATTTTCAAATTTGTGAACTGAACTTTCACCTAGTTCATGCAGAAAGTGAACTTTCCCAACACTGAATGTAAGCAGAAATTTTTTTGCTATGCAATATGGGTGGTGTTGAAATGTTTTTGTTTTGTTACAGTTTTTTCAAGAAATTTTAATTAAAATTGGCATCTAGAATCACTGAGTCATAGCAGATAATTTTCCCGCAAAATACCAAAATCCCTTGGTATCCAACAATATCCTTCTATCCCATGATTAATCAGGAAAGAAGTGCCTGATTAAGCTTGATACAGAAGATACTGTAAAATATAGCATTATAGTTCATGTCTAAAGACACTAAAATAGACAGTGACTTATTTTCAGTGCAAATTCCAGGTATTCCCTGAAGTAAATTCCTAAATGATCAAGGATCTAACAGGACCTCTGCTGGTGACTGTGAGAATGAAAATGATATGTTAAATTAATATGTATTCTAATTCATCCCATCTGTTCCCATTAGGTCAATAGGGACATTGTGTCTGGACTGAAATATGTGCATCTGACCTACAGGAAAGGACTCAGACGTAAGAGCATCTGTATTCATGAATTTAAATGTTGGCCTTGCTTGGTGCTGGGAATGTGTTTGAGTCAAGGGTGTATGGATGTCTTTAAACACACATGTACTGTTTTAATGTGAGTGATCTAAGACCAACATTTAAATAAATATCTTGCATTCCCATTTTAATCTTATAAACACATTTCACTTATATTTATATATGTTATCTTGTTGGCAAAATCTTGAGATGATTTAGTCCAACACTGCTCAGATTATTTGTGATAAGTCCACTTTGAGTTGATCTGATATTATATAAACAGGAAACTATTGATGATGTGCCAATCAGTGTTAATGTGTTTGTTAACAAAACGTTTATCACAGAAAACGGTGTCATGACAATAATTTAAAGTTTGGGATTAAAAACCTGTTAATTAAATATGACGGAAAAAAATAACAGCACAAAATATTAACAATATCAGTCAATAATAATCTTGATGATTGACCCGCCCGTGTGACACAATTCAATCCAATTTATTAATTGAAACATAAAAATGGAAATAAATAAATAGTTTTATTAATAGGCATTTAAAATAATTCAAATTTACTAAATCATTAGAAAAAAAAATTGACAAAAGTTTATTTGCCTTTTTTTGCGTAGTTTTGCCAAATGCTTTTCTCTGTCCATTTGCCTGACAGATTAAAAAATGCCATTGGCCAGTTTACTTGTGGGGGAAACCAATCAATCAGCTTTCGACCAGTCAGTCTGGATGAATTGCGCTTGTGTTGAAGACTCAGGAGTCATGATCTATTATTGAAGAGAACTTGTGCGATGCAGAAACTCTTACAAAGCTAAAACAAACACTCGTTTTTGATCTATTAATCATGCATCTCTCTCTTACTGTATGCAGTCTCACTGTTTTGAAGCGCCTGTACTAGAAAATAAAGGTGTGCTGTCATGAATAATTAAGCGAGGCGTCTTCTCATAGGATAAGGACACGTAGTCTCATGAATGATTATGGTATTTATCGGTATCAATATTTATCGTCAGTACACCATTGTCGGTAACGATATAAAAATGTTCGATATAGCGCTCAATGTTTTCATTAAAATGCGTGTTGCACGTTGCCCAACATAATGAAATTGTGCAACTCCATCCATGGTTTAAACCATCAATGTCAGTGCAGTGTGAGCCAATCTTGATCAAGCGGCACGGTTACTAGATATCCAGTAAAGAAAGCAGTTGAATTCACCACAGAAGTTGAATTCGCCACATCCTGTGATGTTGACACAAAGACAAAAATTAAATCCAGTTGAAAATTAACTAGTTTTTTCCTACGGTCAAAACTAATGGATGGTAACATTGACTTCTTTGATGTTCAGCACACATAACTGTTAAAATCTCAGAAAAGTTTGTTTAGGGTTTCATGACCCTTTTAGAGCCACTCTCTCTTGTATGTGTCTCGTAATTTTAAGAAAAAAAGTCACGTTGCACGTTATAAACTTGGAATTGTGAGAAAATACATTCAACCTTTTTTCTCAGAATTGTTAGAGATAAACTTGCAATTGCGAGTTATAAAGTCAAAATTCAAACCTCTGAGAAAACAGTCAGAATTGTGAAATAAACAGTTGCAATTACCCCTTTTATTTTTTTATTACTTGGCGGAAACCAGCTTCCATATTTGTGGCTCTCAAAATGAATGTAAGATGGACTGTCATGCTATTTTGCAATTAGAATTCAAATGAATGAATATGCCACAAAATGTTTACTAAATTTAAAAGATATTTTCATTTTTTCCTGTAGTGGATAAGGCAGTGTACATGGTGGGGAGCTACGGTCCGAGAGCCGAGGAGCATGAGTTTATGACCCCGGTGGAGGAGGCTCCGAAGGGCATGATCGTTCGCGGAAGCTACCACATCAAATCCTACTTCACAGATGACGACAAGACAGACCATCTGTCGTGGGAGTGGAACCTGCAGATCAAAAAAGACTGGGACAGTGCAGAGTAAAGAGGTTATCCCTCTGCCTCTCTCTCTCCCAGATGCATAGCAAAATACCCAGTTTATGACTAATGTTTAAAACAGAGGACTAGATTAGGTAGACATGCAGCTGGAGTTGACTTTGCAAATGGTTAAATAACAATTAGTCATATCACAAAAACCTTAAAATAATGAACACATTTTTACATATTCAGTGTAATCAACGGTGAGGACAAACAGTGACTGGCAGGGTATTAGAGGTGACTTAGTACTTTGTAATAGATATAACAACGGTATAATCAACAAATGAAATACGTCATGCCTGTACTCTCAGGTTAGTGTAAACTGTAAATGTAAATATTACGATGTCTGTATTCTTGAAATGCATTTAGAGTTCTTTACAGAGCCCATGAGCAGATCAGTGCATGCTTGGATGTGAAGCCATTGTGTTTGCTATGGCTAATGTCTTGTATTGATGATGTAATCAGCCTGCTGTTAACTGATAAATACGTGTGTAGGAAGTGGTTTGTACTTAGTGTTGCTTGTCCAAAAGGTATTTCTGAACATTAAACCCTTCCAAAAAAGACCAACTTAGACTAGTATGAAGTCGTTCGCCAGCAAAGCTGGTCTAACAGCATTTCTGGTGAAGCTTAGTCACTTGTCTTACTAGTTAGTCTAGTTAAGAAGGCCGATTGGCACCGCAGGCTAAACATTTGCTGGTCTTTTTAGTTGGGAGCCCACCATCACTGGAGCCCATAGTCAAGCACCCTCCTCATTCCCTGAAATGGTTCAAAATCTCTTCATCTCTGTCCAGGTGTCTGTAACTGTCCTACATCTAGCTTTTTCATATTAGATTGTCTATGACTTTTTTTTTTTTTTTTTTGACATTCCAAAATAAATACATTTTGTTGTTTATAATGCCTGCTGATACTGTTACCTTACACTTCCATCTCCATCTCTGGTGTTATTATCTGATGTGCATATCTTGTTTTTTTCTTAAATAATTATCTACTGCGTTATATCATTCTGATATATCACAGAATTTTCAGAAAAACTCTTGGAAATGATTACAATAAGACTTCTTCAAGAAAGGTAACAAATGCCACAGGAAATGTATAACTTGCATGTGCATTTTTGTAATGCCTTTATGAGGGAGACAAATGCTAAATCATCATTAAGAGCTAGTTAGCAATAGGAAGAAATAAATAAGAGAGCGCACAAAAGATTAGTGGGGGTTTTTTTGTGTGTGAATTGTCATTTTTGATAACCGTGTGACTCTACAGTCTAAATTTGACTATAAGATGGATTTGATCAAATGGAAATCCTCAACATTTTTCAAAATATACGCACATGATGTATATTTTCTCAAATTCATATTGTGAGTGTTAATGCAGTTGTCCTCACAATTGGATGTTATCATATTAGTCTACTTAGTCTGTATTGCATGATGCTTCATTTTTATATGTTAGAGGGTTCATCATTGTGATGTAAAGTCGGCAGTAGTAAGATGTAATGTAAGATTTAGTCAGGGCATTTTTTCAGCTGACTGATTCATTTGCTAAAAATAGATTCTATTGCTTCTGAATTGTCATACATTTTTAATAAAGTTTGGCTTGTCCTTACTATTTGTTATCTTGTTTCAAATGTCGTAGTTTAGTTCATATACCAGTATGATTATTAGGCACATCAAGTCAGTTTATAAAATGAACAACAAAAAAGCAGAAATAAAAGAATGTCGAGAAAAATTCGCTTTCGTATGATAAAAACCGAATCTCAGAAGAAAAAGACGACACGCATCTTTCTCTACCGCCTTCCAAAATTGACCAATCATAGTAAAGTACATTAAGTACGTCTTTGCTGATTGGCGCTCTGCTCACCAGCTACGCATACTGTTAGTGTTGCCATGTCCTCCTGTTAAAACCTTAAAACCTCTTTCAGCTTGTTTTTCCCTATGGTTTTTCCATGAAGACGTCCCGTTGTAGGTTGCTAAAGACATATATGCATTTAATCGATAAACCTATTAAAAATAAAAATTATTCACAGAATGATGCATATATGTTATTTTGAGGAAAGGTACTTATTTTGAGGAAGTTTATCAGTACAGCTCAACGTTACCTGGTTTTAAAGCGAGATCTGGCAACATGTGTACGCAAACAAACAGTGAAGTTTTTAGCAATTTAGCATTATCCTTTTTGCTGGCGAGATGTCATCAGTATTAAGACACTGTACCAAATTCAGTCCCTCTGGTGGTATGTGTGTTTTGCATCATCTGAAACTTTTGCTGTTTTCTGTTGTGCAGTGAGCATGTTTTATTTTGAAGGAAATGTGCAGTAGCAATACAGGAATTAGGACGAAGGTCAGCGGACCACACAAGAGTTGTCTGTCTACGCCTTATTGTAGTTTTCATGTAATCATTAAGTTAGTTATTTAATTAATCTATAGGTTTTAGAAAGCAGAACACATCGTCATATAATGATACATATTTCAGTTGTTGTTTTGGTGTTGTTAAACTTTTACTTTTCACTTCTTTTAAAAGGGCACGCCACAGCTTATTCACACTGGGAAATACAACACTATAGTTGTAACGTTAACCAATAGTTAAATAAATGCACTGCGAAATACATTGACTTTTACTTTTACATATATCTCTTGAAGGGGTTGTGTCACTGCTGTCTGGAAACTGTAGTCATGGGAGGACCTGTGCTCTACAATACTTATCTTCAAACAAATATTCATCATCCTCAAAAATTAAAGTGGACCTGGATAGTAGTAATGGTAAGAATCTTAATGCATAATGTGTATTAATAATGGGTTTACTGCATTGCAACTACACTTATCAAAAATTAATACCAGAAAATCCTAATTTAATTTAATATTCTCACAGGTGTTGCTATAATGCAGTTCAAAAGTCCTCCAGTCAACAGTCTGAGTCTTGACTTTTTGACTGAGTTTGCTATTAATTTAGAAAAACTTGAACTGGACAGAGGCTGCAGAGGTGTGATCATAACATCTGTAAGTCATCAGAAACATCTGCTTTAGTGGAATCCAGTTTGGTTTATATGTTTGTTCATTTCATTGACTGTGCTGTTTTTGTTATAGGCCCAGCCGAAGGTGTTTTCTGCAGGCCTAGATATTTTGGAAATGTATCAGAAGAGCCCAGAGCACTGCGCAGAATTTTGGAAGGCTGTACAGGACGCGTGGCTAAAGCTTTATGGGTCCACCAAGGTCACAATCGCTGCAATCAATGTGAGTGCCACTATACACTCTTCATTTTTGTTTTATGATACCTGGCTGGTTTAGGTAAAGTACTTGTATAGGGTCCAATGTTTAGTTGTTGAATGTACATTAATTGTTCTGTTTTTAGGGCGCCAGTCCTGCAGGTGGCTGCTTGTTAGCTATGTGTTGTGACTACAGGATCATGGCTGATAACCCTCGCTATAACATTGGTCTCAATGAAACACAACTTGGTATAGTTGCACCTTTTTGGTAAGTGTTATTGCTGTGAATTTCACAATCAGTAGACTTTGGAACCACTAGCTAGTAGCTACTTTTGCCCAAATAAACAGATATTACTTGGATTGATGGCTCCATCGGATTGAAAAGCCTTCATGTAAACACCTCAATCGAAACGACTGAGATTGTTCCACGTGAATTTCGGTCGGCTTGAAGAGGAAGTAAAAAATCCGATCAATAGAAAAAATAGCACGAAAATGCTTGAATCCAACTATAATCTCAGTCATATTAAAAAATATCAAAAATTAGTTATAAATTATTGTATGTGTAATTGATGTGAATCTGATTTCAAAGTTTAGGTTTCATATAAACAGATCTTTCAGAATCTGAAATCGGATTGGATTCATTCAAAGTAACAAAAATGATTGTCTGTAAACATGCCTACTGTAAAACAGGATGGTACTAAATGGAGATTTTGTAAACCAGGTTTAAGGACACCATGACAAATGTTGTGGGCCATAGAGAAACTGAGAAGGGTCTTCAGCTCGGTTTGCTGTACAATACTCCTGAAGCCCTGAAGATCGGTTTGGTGGACGAGCTTGTTCCTGAAGATAAAGTTCTCAGCGCAGCTACTGAGACCATTACTAAATGGTTGGCTATCCCAGGTAAATAGTAATAGTTTGCTCCCGAATAAAATATTTCTGCCTGGTATTGTACATTTTGTTCATGTACACTGTTTTTTGCCCACAGATCATGCCCGTCAGATAAGTAAGTCTATGATGAGAAAGCCCACCATAGACAAACTTCTTGGGAACAGAGACGCCGACACCACAAACTTCGTCAGTTTCATCACCAAAGACTCCATCCAGAAATCTCTTGGGATGTACATGGAGATGCTGAAGAGGAAGAGGTCTTGATGACCTGAACACGTGCCTGTTGTTGACATTGTCTTTATGTAGCGTGCATCAATGTCACTGTAAATCACTTTGTCCTCTCTTTTCTTACTAGAGGATAAATTTGTTTGTAAATAAAATCATATAAAACTAAAATGGGGTCTCATTAGGATGTGGGTAGTTGACATATTATCATTACATGTTGACAACTTGTCTATTTGACTTGTTTTTTTTGTTTTTTTTTATTCAACATCAAGGTTTTAAAGTTTTGCATGCGTGTATGTTAGGTCAAGTAACTGGTTGCCTATTATTTTAAAAGTCTGCATGAAGCGGAAGTTGCGATAGTCTTTTCTTCCCTATTTTGACGATACAGCTTCTAGATCAAGAAAAAAAAAGTAGGGCTGGACTTGTTTTTGTCCAATAGGAATTGATTGGATGGTTGTGGTTTGCTATTGCAGTGATGTCATGTGAGTGACAGGTTGTCCTGTCCTCGCGCCAGTAACACGTCTTCAGAGTGGAGAAGAGATGTCGTTCCAAGTGAGAGAAATTATTTTAATTAAATATTGCAAATGCACACGAATAAAAAAACACACAAATAAAACGTTAATAATAAACACTACAATATCCCATAAAAAATAAGAATGGAAAAATTTGATTTCATGATGTATTTCTCTTTTTTTGAGTGAATTTGTAATCAACCTTTTCCTTCATTAGTTCATTATAATTGCAGCTAAATTCGTTTTAAAAATACAAGTAGTCATAATTTGCTTCACATTCACCTATGCATTTCTTATAGCTATAGAATGATATAGGACAAACATTCGTTGAAGCAAATGATTTCTTTTTATTCCCACCAAGTGTTACAAGCAGTGTGTATCTGCTGTGAGGGAACAACCTTGATCTCTTTTTCACATGAGCTTGACCTCAACTGGAAAGTGATCGCTCACTGCCAGGGCCTGTGATAGGGACATGAGCACTTCAGACAGATGAATACACTCAGCAATAACTCAGTTTCTAGAGATCCTTAGGTTCAATATTTAAACACGTGTGCAGCTTAACAATAATCCCAAATGGGGCAAAACCTGTCCTCACCCAGCTCTGGCTCAATCCATGGGTTTCCATGAAGTCAAAGACCTGTGCTGATCCAGGGGACACTCCTTTCATCATGTCAGGGGTGGCCACAATCCTGTTACATCCAGCATATCACGAGTGATTACATAACATAAGTTTATCTGACCCAGCTAGATAGCTTGTGTTGTTTTCCCTACCTGTCATAAGGGCAGTTTGTGTTTGTGACGGTTGTGTCCACACTGTCAGGGATGAGCCAGGTGTAGCTTTGGTCAGTGCGGAGTCGAATATTTGACCAATTCGAATTTGAAACGTAGCTACAGCCAGCATTGAAGTCTCCCAAAAGCATGATGTTCTGAAATGAAATGTGAAATGTCACAAATTCCCTAAATCATATTGTATTAGCATAGTTCTCATCTAGTATAGTTACATTTGTGTTCAAACGTTGTCTAGTATCCAAGACAACATCATGCAGAGCATCGATTTCCTGCACAGCGACTTCTGGAGATGTATGCTGGGGAATGAGGGCAAAGTCCCGGACAGCTATGGAAAATGCAGACTTGTTAGGGCTCAGGATTCAAAACATTTTCTGTTTTTATTATTAAAAAAAAATCATTATTTATTTATTTATTTTTTAATTTCTTATTGACCCCACATTTTGAATAGTAGTTTATATTCAGCTATAAGTGTGGTCACTCAGGATCTGGAAATCACATTCCCTTCATTTTCATTTTCTTAACCTCAGAGGAACTGTCTGAATTTAGTGTACCATACATTTCTTTGGATGAAAAGCTTTTGCTGAACAGTGTGTTTCAAATGTATCACTGGTAACATTTTGACAATGAACTGGGACCGCCACCTGTATCAGAGGAGAACATCACAACAAAGGGTTCTCTGTTGAAAGTATCAGTTCCACAGGATTCACATCCATCATCATACTGGAAGCTGTTTGAAACCGACACTGTCTGGCGCCTGATGAGAACATCATTTGATATGAACCACAGGTACCACCACGCATTAGTATACATACAGTATATGATATGTGAGCTACATGTTACCTGTAAATAAAGAGATATCTCTCTGTGTAAGTGCTTCTACCCAAGGGCTCACTTACAATGTGCTGATACTCATATGGAGAGGAACCTCTGATGATGAAAATAATATTTTATTTATTCATTTTCAAATAATGCTGTAATTTACAGATAAACAACGTACCCATTTACACTTTCCATCAGTTTATTCGTTGCAGAGAGATCACTGTCTCTCACCTCTTGGATGAGTACAATGTCATAGCGGTGAACTACCTAACAAACACAACACTAAGGTTACCAAACAAGAAGCAAGATATGGGTATTCTATGGGTGTCACTCACTTTGGTAATGATGTCAAGCAGAGTGGCATTGGATGCTTTTGAGTCCCCAAAGGTTTTGATGTTAAATGCTCCGATCAAAAGCGAGTTTCCAATGTGGATGGATATCAGGAGCAGATTTAAAGTGATAATAATCTTCATGCTGTATTTTGAGATGAAGGTTATTTCCCAGGGAAATATTTAGACATGCATTAGACAGTAGTTAATCATATCTGAGACAGATTAGCACCAGTCAATTAGAATCTTAAAAAATCGATGTAATGAAGAAAATATTACTCTAATATAAATATGCATTAGTTAAGATTGTATTTTGAGACATTTATTCCATGCAATAAAATAGCTTACCTGCTGCTGATTTCTGCATTCATTTGTGCCGTGAGAACGGGGAGAAAGGAAGCCTTTTTGCACCACTAAGGAGCCTTTATATACTCTACCTCAGCAAGTCTCTCTCTCTGGGGATATAATTGGTATCACATATTCTAGAGAGTTTTTATGTTCAGACATCAACCTCTTGCTTACTCTCTCCCTGGGAAATAAACAGATGGGTGATAAGGCAACATCTAATGTAACTTTAAACAGGTGGCTTGACAGAAGTATTTATAAAATATTTATTTTGTAGCTGGCTGCTGTTCCTCGGTATTCAAGGACTTTTTTTTAACACTATGATCTCTTATAGGGTCAGAATCTCTGCATTACTTGAGCTTGTACTGTAACTCTTCCATATACATTTCCATATTCCATATTACACGTCCGTGCAACAGGGGGCGATTCATGTGTGTGCCAGTATGGGAGGTGTATGTGTGTATGGTGAATACTTTTGTATTTTATTTAATACCGTCTCCTATAATGTTAATTGGTCGGTTCCTTAGAAATTGAAACCAAAAAAAAAAAATATTTGTGTAATAATATGTTGCATTTGTTGACACTTCCATTGAGTCTAACTCAGAGTTTGAATTTGAGAAAGAAAGAAAGAAAGAAAGAAAGAAAGAAAGAAAGAAAGAAAGAAAGAAAGAAAGAAAGAAAGAATAAAGAGGAGCAAGGTTAACGTTACGAAATATTTACTCTTTACTATACTAAATAGTACATATTTTGACAAAGAGGTCAAATTGTTGGTCTTATCTCAAAGGCACGTCAAGGCCACTTCGGCGGCTTTCGACCGCTTTCGACCCCGACTGGTTCCGGAATGGAACGGACCGGAAGTGTCAGCCTAGAGTTTGTCGAAGTGCTAACGGCTACGCTAATGCATTACAGAGCGCAAATCGAGTCTCTGGCTGAATGTGTCATCTTCATCCCAGACAGAAATTTACACTCTATCGCCATGCTACCGCAGCAGTGAACATTCTCCACGGAAATAAAAAGAAACGACGGTATATCCTTCTGCTTATCCAAGCGGTGAAACTAGGCAGGTTAGGATTTTTTCGCATCCCAGCTAATGATTAGGCTACTGCATGTAGCGGTTAGCATGTAAACAGATCAAGCAAACGCAACTGACAGTTTGATCATTTGAATTACTGCATTCCCACATCATTATATTATATACTTTTTAAAATTCTCTAATTTTTATTTTATTTGTTTAAAAAAAATCCATGTCTATGTATTTTGACTGGCAGAAGTATTTGTGTTTGCTGTTCCTTGAGTTTAATAGATTACAATGAGGTTACTGTAACTGATAACTCTTTAGAATCAACTGTGAAATGTGTTAAATATAATATCTTAATTTGCTTATTTATTATGGCAAAATGTTGTCTATTTACTTTAACATCTTGTTTCTTGACAGTAAACAGAAAGTAACATGTCTACTCTTATCACATTTCTCCTGAGAGTGGTGACCTCACTACAACTAAAAGCAAGTAGCTAAAAGCTTTTAAAAAGCAAGTTATTAGGCACAAATTGAATCATACAGACCACCATCTTCTAATCCATGAGTCTTTTAACACATAATGGACTGAACAATAAAAGTAAGGGTTTTCAAACTGAGATGGATGTTGTTGAACACTGTTTAATTGTTTATCTTTATTTGTTCTTTCAGGTGTGAATGACCGACGTGTTGCCTACCACCGCCCTCAGTGAAATAAAGCTCCGCCTACTCTGCCACGATGACATAGAGAGAATAAAAGTGCTCTGTGGAGAGTGGTTCCCCATTGAGTGAGTGCTTGAACCAAACGAACCTTTTGTATGGCTCAAGTACAACACTAACACATTGCTATATGTGTGTGTTTTAGGTATCCAGACTCATGGTACCATGACATCACATCAAATAAGAAGTTCTTCTCTCTGGCTGCCACCTATAGAGGTGGAATTGTGGGGATGATTGTGGCAGAAATAAAAAGCAGAACGAAAGTGCACAAAGAGGTATGACTTGCATATGTATTGAGAAAATGACACAATTAGAAAAAACTCAAGTTTTAGAATCAAGTAAATACTATTATGGTGCAATGCATTCAATGCTTCTATTAAAACTTGGCAGAGGTTTGTTTACAGTGTTTTATAATATGAGTAAGAAATGTTTATTTGAGTAAAAAAATGACTTTGGCCAATAAAGAATAGTTTCTCTGGCGCTTTGATGTAAAGGTCCATAATTAAAATCATCTGACATATCCAAAGCCTTTTTATAGCCGGTGATTAATTAGGTTACAGACTAAATCTGACCTTCATTAGAGAGGATTTATCCTCTTCATTATACAGTTAGGTCTCCTACTAAAGCTGGCAGTCATGGCCACTTTATCACTTTTGTTGTTGAACTGTTAGTTCACTTTTAATGAACTTTGTAGGCCCATGGATGGCTAACATATCAAAGTTTTTTATTAAATGTAAAAGTTCCATGTATGAAGTACAATGGAAATCTTGCTTGAATGCTTACTATACACAAGAAAGAATAAAAAACACAGTATTGATACATATGTGCAAAAATATAGCCTATATTGATAAGCATATAGAACGTGGTAGAAGACCAGGTTGCAAGAGTTCCCATGTTGTTACTGATATTATTACACATTAATGTTGTTTTGTGTTAAACATTTTTACAGCACTAGAGTAGATATTTTTCTAGTTTAGTGAGTTTAAATAGTCCTGAGCCTGAAGAGATGTGTGATGCGATCATTTGTAGGGGTTTGAGTGTGATTTCTTTGTACAATGACTGCAAGGAATACTTCTAGTGGTTTTTTATTTTATTTTAAAGGCACACTATGTAATTTTTTCACCTCTAGAGGTCATTTATTCAAAACAAAGGCATAGCTTGATGACACCTTGATTTCGCGATATCATTGGAGTTGTTGTCTTCACCACTACAGCCTGTGGAGAATACGATGGGATTCATAAAAAAATCATATTCATTGATGACCGGTAATGTATTAAAGATTTATTAACGTTACGAAAGCTGTTGGAGAGGAACGAGGCCGCTGGAGCGGTTGCTAATGAGAGACAAGAATGACACGCAGCTTTGAGAGCAGTGGAGCTTTTATTATACCACAGGCGCTGCTTTAACACATTAGATACATTTGTGTATGTTGATATCCCTTTAATGTTAATAAAACAACAAAACACAAAGTGGAAACCACTCACTGCTCTTGAATTAGAAATTTAATATAATTCTTTGCACTTAAAAAATAACAAATAAATAAATACATCGGTATCAGCATCGGGCAAAATTAGTTTGAAAATATCGGCCTATCGAATATCAGCCAAAATCCAATATCGCGCATCCCTACATATAATATATTAAAGCGTTTTTGGTGTTTCCATGGTTTCTACAAAATAAAACTGGGAATCGTGGGTAACGCGAGCATGATGTCATTGATAGACGTCATTCGGACACCGTGTCCTGGTTAAAACGGCTCATTCTTCTGGTTAAAATATTCTTAGAAACATTTGGGATAATGTAAATACACAAATCAACAAAACGTATAACATTGTTCTAGCGGTTTTTGGAATTCCAAAATATAACATATTGTGCCTTTTTTGCATTTTATTTTTTTATAATTATCTCTAACATATGCTATTTTTTTCTCTAAAATACTTGTGTACTGAATAAGAAATGCATGTTATGCATGTTATTTTTGAAATTACATTACTGTTTAAAAGTTTGGGGTCTATATATAGATATATATATCTTTTTAAAAGAAACTGTTTGTATTCAGCAAGGATTATTTAAAGGGTTCACAAGTGACAGTAAAGAATGAAAAGAATGTTTTAAATTGTTATAATATATATTTGTGATCAAATTAATTTAGCTTTGGTGAGCATAAGAGATTTCTTTCAAAAACTTTACCAACCCCTTTAAATATCTCTTAACACCCTTAATATTTTCAGTGACGACAAATTTGAAATCACAATATTTTGTTATTCCAGTATTATCCCAGCAAACCGCCTGTGTTGCTAACTCAGCAATCAGCATATATTTTTATCCATCAGGATGGAGACATCTTGGCCTCCAGCTTTCCTGTTGAAACTCAAGTTGCGTACATCCTGAGTTTAGGAGTCGTGAAAGAGTTTCGCAAACATGGAGTAGGTGAGAGGTGACGTTTTTGTGCTGTTGTGTAACGTCTGCCATGACACATGCTTCCCCTCATAAAACTTGAACTGTATTCAAACAGTTTGGAAGGTCACTCGTATCTCTTTCTCTCTCTGCAGGCTCTTTGTTGCTGGACAGTTTAAAGGAGCACATCTCCACCACGGCACAGGACCATTGTAAAGCCATCTACCTGCATGTGCTCACCACCAATAACACTGCCATTCACTTCTATGAGAACAGAGACTTTAAACAGCACCATTATTTACCATATTATTACTCTATACGAGGAGTGCTGAAGGATGGCTTCACCTACGTCCTGTACATCAATGGCGGACATCCTCCATGGACGATCTTATATCCTTTTCTTTAACTCACATATTTGTTTTGTTGTGTCGCATTTGTCTGTGAGGGGGCTCATCAAGGCGATTGGTTATGTTGGTTGCTGAAAAATGTTTTATTATTATTAATGATACCGAATAATTGTATCCAATAATGTATTGATATACATTATATGATATACTAGTTTTTATGAATTTGAACTTTAAATGCCTGGTAGAAAAAATGTTCCTTGACTCTCTCAGCACTGATTATATTCATCATATAGGTTCGGCACTGGCCAGTCTGAGCCCCTGTTCTATTCCTCAGAGGATTTACCGGCAAGCACAGAATCTCCTGCGCAGCTTTCTGCCGTGGTCGGGCATCTCTTCCAAGAGCGGCATTGAGTACAGCAGAACCATGTGAGGATTGTGGGGGGGTAAGCCTGACTCATCCACCTCTCGTGAGATCACCTCTTTTTCCACTCGTAAATGTATCGTTCATTTTCTTCTGAGCAATAATGATGTCTTATTTATCAGGTGGAGGAGATTGATTTTTTTGGGTCACATCAGATGCCTGGGCTGCTGAAGACTGATATCGGCTCTCTCTGGTCTGGAGCAGTGTATTATACTTGTACATTTTATATATATATACTTTAATATATGCATTGCCATTATTAGGTTTCCTTTTTAATATAAACTATCCACTTCATGCCTGTAATTCTGCTGCTGTGTAGAAATATTCTATTGTTTATTCAAATTTTTAATATAAATAGTTTTTTTGTGTGTGTGTGCCTGTTCTATAGGATATTTTAGGATTCGATGGTAGAAGTATGCATACTTTTTCCATTTAGTCATTTTCATCCATGTCAAGCTCTAGTGTTTTGTTTGTTGACACTAAGCATGTATTTCAGCCCCCAGTTTTAAGTTTAATATTTGTTTTTTTTTTTTAAATAACATTTGCACAGAGGCGATGAATGTAGTGTTGCTATGAAGGGAAGAAATGCCAGAGTTACCGAAAACCCTCCATCTCACCAAATGTGTATTGTTAATGTCAAATTCAAATGCGGGAAAAAAAAAAAAAAACGTTTTAAATTTAGAGCATTTTAATTTAGTTAGAACATTACATCCTGCCATTCATTGCAATGTACTTGCTCTTTTAATGGGGAAATGAATGTAGTGGGGGGAGAAATGTTTGATTTTTGCTGTGTTGCTGTGAATCAGGGATTTACACAAAAATAAACGTATTTGAGAAAAATACTCCTGTGTTACACAAATTACAATATCAAAGATTATATTTATCTGTGTTTGACCATACATTCATGATGTCTGTGTTGAAACATTGATGTTTTGATGAAGCATTTCTGTGAAATTATAAGAGAAACCTTATGGAAACTACTGTATCAGATGTTATTGGCCTTCAAGCATTTGAATAATGTTTCTTCCAATTCCTTGTTTGTATACGTGCTTTGTTTTATCCAAAATATTGATTTTGAAGACAAATAGCATGTATGAATAGCTTTTTTAAACAAGTTTTCAATATAGGTAATATAATCACTATCACCTTGTGCTTTTGAGCGTGAAAGTGTGTGTAAATCTGCAATAATTCTCCCATTTGTCTTGTTTTTAATGTTGCACTGTTGTAAAATTGGTACATTGTTTTACATTTCATTGTATAACATTTTCATTGTGTAGGTATTAAGAATTGAAATAGGGGAAATGTCTAATACTCTTCTAGAAAAAATGCATTCTAACCCTAAGATGGCCATGGTGTAGGTGAAATGAAATATGGAAAGCAGCAGTAACTGAATTTTTCCAAATAGTTTCTGGATTGTGTAGCACCCTCTAGTGTTCACTGAGATGATTTTTAATTTGTGCACAAATTAATGTATTTGTATTTGTTGAATTGCACCATTTGCATCCCTCCATTTGTCTATTCTTCATTTATGAATTGATTCATGCATTAAGAGATTTTTGAGATGACCTACAGGCAAGAGTGAAATAAAAAAGATTGTGCAACCATTTGTTTCAATGCTCTGTTTTTGTTTACGTTTCTCGCAATATATGAGGTTTTACGGTAATTGTCATTTAATGATGTATTTTTTTGACGGCATCGGTTTAGTCACGCCTCTTCGGAGTCTTGGACCCTCATTCACAGTCAGATTACGAGAAGACCAGCAAACAATAAGCAACAACTACTTTCTTTCGTGGCGGGCGGCTTTCTTTATTCACTGCCTCCAACAATCTGCGGTTGTTTTCTTTGGCTCGTGCACATTTGTAAACGGTGAGTAATGCTGTAATTCTTTTTGAAAGATTATATCTCAACAACAAAGTGACTTTTTATGAAAGTGAAAGAAAAGCTACTTCTGCGTGCTCGTGAATTATTCGAGAGATTAATAAACTAAAACGAGAGATGGTCACGTTTGAAATCTGTCTTAATCAATCTGATGAATCTGTTGGTTTACTAAGTTTAAACATTGATTGATTTCTCTAGACGTCTCTGTTTTTTATTTGTTTCACATTTGCTCAGTCATTGGCACGATTCTACACACGTTGAATGTTTTTTTTTAATTTTGTTTTAGAATATCTATATTGAGCTTTTGAAGGAAATTTGAATTGTTGGAAAGTAAGTGAAATAAAGTGCTTTAATTAATGCATAAAGAGGACTAGTTGAGCTGGTGAAGGGAGGAGTCTTAACGCAGCTCGTCGAACTAAGTTACGTTACTAGCCACAATTCAAACGTGTGTTACGTGTAATGAAGATGTTTTGTTGCAAGACTGTGACTCTTATTTACATTTTTCAAATTGAAATTCTTTGGATGAAGCTCAGATATTGACACACTATTGCTGAATTCTTTTTGACTCTGAAATACAGATCTGCTGTGTTTTCAGTTTTGTTTTACCAGGACAAAAAAAAAAAAACAAACAAACAATGAACTAATGCTTTTGAGTTAAAGGTTTAATATTTAAAGTCTCAGTGTTCGGTGGTTGAATATTGTATGTTTACTGAGTAACTAATCCACTAAGAGGGGGGCCTAAATGACAATTTTCACCAGAGATGCAAAAATAACTAGAAAGATGGCTACAGACAGTGATTGGCAGGTCTATCAGTAAGATAAGATGACTAGCTATCTTTGTTTCATTATATACCAATGTTGACGGTTCAAAAATGCAAAACAACACTTTTTGTGTTTCATACGCATACAGTTATGTTTTATGCTATTCTTTTGACACAAGTAAACAAGAGATACATTTCTAATTTAAGCATAATTTATTCTTCAGACATTCAACTTCAAATGCAAGTATCAGCTGTGTGCAAAGTGAATCACATTTGGTTTTTAATCATCAAACATTTGAGCATAAGTTAATTTCAATGAAGTGGTTCATATAACTTGTGCACTATTTTTCAATTATTCTGAATTGTTACACTGACTTAAAAAAAGTCTCTGAAACACAAATTCCAAATTAGTGAGTCATGCCGGTTTTGGAACGAATGTGAATAATGGGGCATTCAGGTCATGTTGTAAAGATTGTAATTACGTGTTGAATGCAAAAGGATAGCATCACAAAGTTGTAAATAATCACACCGTAAATGCAGAATCTATATCGATGGGAAAGTGTTTTTTTTTTTAATTAATTAAAGTAGTATTTTTCGTAACTCATTACACCTGACGTTCTCTTCCCAACACATAAATACAAACTTGAATGCATTATGCACCATAAATAACATTTGAATTTCATTTTTGGGTGAACAAGTATCATTGAATGTTTTGTAATCTGTCATTAATAGTTATTTAGTTTATCAATCCTATTTTGAGGTTGCAAAATGATTTACTGTAAACTACTTTAGGACAAGGAAAAGGCTGATTACATTGGAGCTGACAATTTCCTGGCTTAAGTCTATTATTTTTCCATTTTCAATATTTCTTGTCTTAGAAATGTTGTCTCTTTGAACACATTGTGTTATTTACTTATTTCAACCTAGACCATTGGGCCATGCTTTCAGTTACGTAATTGATAGTTCTCAAGTTGTAATATTGGATTTTGGGCAGTGACGGCATCCCCTGTTGGGACCTTAAAAAGACAACTAGAGGTCATGTACTGAGTCTGTTACTGTCTTGGAAAATACTGCATTGTGCCTCCCTCACTACACCATTACAACGGTATTCAGGCAGATGTTTTGTTACCAGGGTTTTTGTTCCCATTTGTGTAGCCATTTTATGTGACCTGATATATTAAACAACATTAATAAAGGGCATATTTCATTGTATAATCCTACCATCGATCGTGACTTAAAGAGTTATGAATTAAAGACTGTTGCAGATGGCTATCTTATCATCTGTTTACACAATACACATACTAGCACAATCTGTTGCAGAGCAAACTCAAGACTAAGCTCATAAAGAAGAAGGTCATGAAATCACAAATGATTATTTCTAGAGAAAGCACCCTGAAGTTTTCTGCCAGACAAATAATATTGAGATGTAAATTACAGTTAAAAATCCTCTGGGCACAATAGATTTGACCTTTTCAACTATACAAATCATATACATTTCTTACAAAGATCATATTTTGCTAGCTCCGCCATGTGTGTGATCACTTTTGCCTTTCATAAATGTTGTTCATACTATGCAATACTACCCCCCTGAGTCGAGCAGTAACAAGTGGGCGGATCCTAATAACAGTCATCTATAGAGTATATCTAACATGCTACTTCAGTTTCTTTGTTATGTACCAGAGAAATTTATGAAAGCTGTTCCGATCAGATGCTGGCTGATCTGTGTTGTACTATTTCCAGATATTTGCTTTTTGCATGCAGTTTCTGAAAATGCCACCAAAATGGCCAACTTTGAAACATTGTTTTTAAACCAAAATATAACAAAGACTTAAAGGGTTACACAAGTCTTAAAAAAAAAAAAAAAAAAGTCACCTTTCACCTTTTTTGGAGCCAGTTTACAGGAGGGGGAAAATAACAAATGCCAGAAGCAATTTTTAAATGTTTAAATACAGAGATTTTTAGGTCTAGTATTGGTAAAATCTGACAACACTTGTTACATTACAGGCTTATGGTGACAGTTTGGTTGACTGTAATCCAAGACTTATTAAAGATAATGTTAATATGCTTGTAGACTCAGGTTCTTAAACTTTTCTTTTAGAATCTTAATTTTAAAGTCATGAATGGTTCAATTTCAGAGATAAAGAGATATCAAAGTGGCATCATGAATACATTTTCACAATTAAAATTGAATCGAGCCGGTGAATTTTGCTGTATTTTTTCATATAGCGGCATAATATCAATATGAATATATGCCAGCGTGCGCTATTGAGATCAACTCGACGACATAACTGATCAGATGCCGGTCGCGATGCGGGAGTTAAGACCGCAGTTTGAGCCAGCAGCTCGAATGGATTTGGCCCTGTGTCTACATACAATTCACCCTCATCCACTTCAGGTGAAGGTGAAGGTGAGGGAGAAAAGTCCTCGACTTCAAATGGCTGCTCTGTTGCAAAGGCAGCTACTTGAGTCACTCCAGTCTCGCTCTATTTTAGAGTCTGACAGCAGCTGTCACTCACGGCGGGTCTCAGGTGCACGCCCCCTAGCCCCGCTGGGGTCTGCCCATTTTTTCAGCATTTTTCAAATATTGCTAGTGGGTGGAGTCAGGCTCTGACCAGGGGTTTAGTTACCCTTTAAAAACACATTTGTTTCACTATGCATAGAGTTCTGCTGAGCTAATAGTTATTTTTTTTAAAGAGAAATGTCTGAAGAACAAAACAATTGCACGAAACATACCTGAATTATATTTTTAGGGCGTCTGAAATGCAATTAAATAAATCTATTCTGGGATAAACACACAATAAGCTATTTTCATCATAAATATATTGTTGGATACCCATCCTTGCAGGAGGAAACTACCGTACTGGTTTTGATTAGCTGTTTCCTGGTTGGGTACTTTGAACAGAAGATCCCTTCCTCCCTGTTTTTCCTCCTGCTATTCTTATTCTCAAGGCTGTTTGGAAATTTGGATACGTTACCAAACTATTCCCGTCATAATCTGACATTCCAAACATGTTCCCCACCCTCCTGAATGCTGCAAAACTAAGATTTCCCTGCTTTTCTTCATGTATTCAGCATTTGTAAATAATCTAAATATAGGCCTGTGTTAACTTGTTTATCAGCTTGTTGGTTTTTATGGTTTGGCCTGAATATTTTTATGAAGTTTCACAAGTTCAGCAGTATCATTTTATCAGGACACATGTGGTTTAGTTTTTGTCTGGCAAGTGAATTTGAACGTAAATAACTTACTACGCAAGTTACGTAAATAACATTACTAACCTGTATGACTTTAGTAAAAAAAATATTTTATTTATATCATGGAACGAACAACAATTATATTAATTATAAATTATTAGTGAAATTTTTAATTAAATTACATTTTTGGTGAGCCATTCTTTTAAGCACAGTCAGGGAGTAAAAGGTTTATTTCATAGATTGTAGCTGGGAAAATGATCTCTGTAGGCAAGTATCATCAAAAATGATACTTTCTTTTTGTTTGTCGCCTAAACCATGGAGAATGTTTTGAGCTTGCTGTGCTTAACAGGTCAATGTCATATGTCTGCTACTGCTTTCATTGAAAAATTAAGGCATTCCTGAATGGCAGAGACAGCAAACCATTGATTACTTTTCTGAATATTGGATGGTATGTTCCCACATTGTGCTAAAATGTCCTTTCAGTTTAATATGCCACTGGAGAAAGTTGTACTTTCATTCATGCAACTTAATACAGTTGTTACCACAGGTGTCTGACTCAGAGCTGTCCCTGGCCCTCTGAAACTGTGGGCTGCTGAACTCAATAATGTGCCGTCACTGTGTATAGAAACATCTATAGATGTATCAATGTAGGCGTCCAGAGTCCCGACCTTGCTGAGGTTTTAGTCATTGTCACTTACTGTCATTGTAGGCACATTATTTCATCTGCTGCTGGCTGTGTGATGCATACAAACTCTTTATTATATTTATGTTGTCAGTTATATAATATATGTATATAATCCTATATTGTCATAATATATCCATTTAGCATGTAGTCCTCTGGGAAAATATGGGCATGTGTGGGCATGTTATTGGGCGAATGCAGCTAAAATTGCTGTGATGTTGTTGTTTTTTCCTGTACTGGTGTGTTAATCATTGTTGTGTTATTCCATTAAGTAGTGTAGTTTTGTTTGGTCTATCTCTTTAACTCGTGTTTTGTTGGAAATTTTGACATTCATCGGATTGTTAAAAGGTAAT